CAGGTCCAAGCAGCTCAAAGCATGGACTGGCAGTTTGACCCCCGGCTGGCACACCCCAGCCGTGACACTGCTATAGGTTCCTACAACTCACTAAGGGAATTAACTGCACACTTGCAGTTGTCTGATTTTGCCACTAGATGGTACACCGTTGGTCCTTTTGGCTTTTACCCAAAGGTGCCTGGCTCATTTGGAGGGGACTTGTAAGAGACATTCCAAAGACGTACCATCATGTACTCAACCAAATCAGGCTCTTTACAGCTTAGTTTTTAAATAAACATTAAGTGTTAGAGGCTTTTATGTAAAATAAAGTTTCAACTTCTACATCTGATTATAATGACCTGTATTATCTCTAAGTAAATAGCAGGGACTAGACTGTGATTTTCAAAGCTTTCATGTTCTGGTCAAGCTCAGTTTGTGCAGTTCCATGGATGCATCTTCACTATCCAGGCTCTGAGCACTTAAGTTTGTAGAGACGCAACCACTGCCGAACCACTTGGGATTCAGATCTGGTCAGCTTCATGTCAAGGAGAGAGGAATGAAGATTCTCCTCTTCAGATGGAAACTTGGGGACCTCTCCCTCCCATATTCTACTGGTCAAGGTTCTTGAGTGGCAGATAACCAGAAACCACCTCTGGTGAACTCAAACTGAAAAGGGATTTATTGGCAAGATCTTGGGTAGTTCATGGAGTTTATGGAAGTTTGGAGAACTGCACTCAGAACTGGGGCAGGAATTCCAGGAGGCTGAGCTGGCTGGGATCAGAGCCAGAATCAGGCCCTAGAATAGTCTGGTTAGGACGTTGCTGCTGTTGCTACCACACAGGGGGACTGGACCGGGGCACTGTCCTTGGCACTGATGCCTTTGCTGCAGTTCTTTTTCTTCAGTCAGCCTGTTCATCCTGAGCACTTTTGATTTTGTTTTAAACTCTCCCTTGTTTGTTAGTATCAGCTGCTGCAGATTTAATCACCAGAGTGAGAACACACAACAGAACCTGCTACTCAAAAAGTCCTTGTGTGCAGAGCTGGGACTCATCTGTGCATTGTCATTGTCACCTACTATTGTCATACCAGCTCTTAAAATATCAAAATAGTCCGATAACACCCAGGATCCATTCTCTTTCTACCCTCTCACCATCCAGCCATGAAATGGTTAATAGCAGGCACAGGGAGGGGCCTCTCAGAGAGTGCTGCAACTGGCGTCTGCTCCAGCTGGTAGACATTTGTGGCAAAATGATGGTTAAATATTTTGAATATTATCCCTGACCATGTCTGTTTTAGGTCAGTTTGTAAGTAAGATGGGCTGACACTTAGTAGTTTCTATATTGAGAAATGTGAAATGTGCAAAGGGCTACTCACATGACAGTGACTACTCATCATGTATGAGTTGAGGTATCCTTTTTGTTTGGTTCATAAGACATTTCCGTGCTTCGTACTTGTTTTTTTAAATTAAGATGAATTAAACTAAGCTATGCAAAGGGATTATGGAGTGTTATTACAATGAAATACAGCCATTAAAATGATTGATATGCTGAATATATAGAATCTGAGAAAAATGTTCATGAAATATTTAAAAATTGGAACACAGAGCTGTCCAGATATTATGTTTACAACAGTGTATATGCTATTTATGTATCTAAAGTCTAGGAAGGACTTATAAAAGAATGAAAATAGTTTGAATTAAGATAGCTTCACAGTTGAATCAGAAAGATTTCTTCAATAATGCTTTTAAAATTGAGGAAGGGCCAGGTGTGGTGGCTCACACCTGTAATCCCAGCACTTTCAGAGACTGAGGCAGGAGGGTTGCTTGAGGCCAGGAGTTGAGGCCAGCCTGGGCAACAGAGAGATACCATCTCTATCTACAAAATAAAAATTTAAAAAATTAGCCAGGCATGGTAGTGCATGACTGTGGTCCCAGCTACTTGGGAGGCTGAGGTGGGAGGATCGCTTGAGCCCAGGAGGTTGAGTGAGGCTGCAGTGAGCTGTGAGCACACCAGTGCACTCCAGCCTGGGTGATAGCTCAAGATCCTGTCTCAAAAGAAAGAAAAGAAAAAAATTAAGGAATCAAACCTTAGCATAATGTAATTGCTCATGAAAATTATTTATATGGTGGGAAAAATTATAGAAAAAAATAAAATTATTTATAAAATAAAAACATTTGGATTTTATCACAGCAACCCTTTTGATCCTGGTAGGCAAACTAAGGTACCAAAAATTAGAATTGGAAAACATGAGGACATACAGATAACAGCAGGTTGTGTGTTTCTCGATTGAAGGAACAGATGTTTCCACACCTTAGAGAACTGTCTGAGGGGACAGCTCTTGAAGGTCATAGATAGTCTCAGATGTATTTGACAGTGACAGAGGCAAAGTTACTGCTCATTTGGGCTGCAGGGACTGACTTAGAATGATTTCCTTTTCATCCCTAGTATTCTATTCGGTTAATTACAAGGACAGTAAGTAAAGCAACCATCCAGAAAGGAAACCAGTGTCCAACTTCAGCTTTTTTTCTTTTTTAAAGGAAGCCAAAGCATGTCTCCTTTTACAGACCTTTATACCATATCTTCATATCCCTATTATAGAATTTGTGAACTGGGGATTTCCTCTACATCATTGCTTCTCATACCTGAAAATGCAAAGGGAGCACCTGGGATTTTGTTAAAATGCCCATTCTGATTCAGTAGATACAGGATGGGGTCTGAGCTTCTGCATTTTCTTTCTTTCTTTTTTCTTTTTGTAGATGGAGTTTTGCTTTGTCACTCAGGCTGGAGTGCAGTGGCACATACAAAGTCAGCTCACTGCAACCTCCGACTCCCAGGTTCAAACAGTTCTTCTGCCTCAGCCTCCCAAGTAGTTGGGATTACAGGTGTACACCACCACACCCAACTGATTTTTGTATTTTAGTAGAGATAGAGTTTCACCATTTTGGCAAGGGTAGTCTTGAACTCCTGGCCTCAGGTGATCTGCCTGCCTCAGCCTTCCAAAGAGCTGGGATTACAGGCATGAGCCACCATGCCCGGCCATGTCTGCATTTTCAGTAAGCCCCCAGCTAATGCCAATGCTGATGGCCTGTGGACCACACTTGAAATATCAAGGTTCTACATATCCTGAGGACTTGTTTTTCAAATTGTGTGACCTTCAGATATGTTCAGTAAGACCTTACCAGTCAAAGTATGTACAAGACTTGTAATTTGAAAACTGTAAAACATTACCAAGAGAAATTAAAGAAGACCTGGATAAAGGGAGACCTAGGCCATACTGATGAACTGGAAGACTCAATATTGTTAAAAATGTTACTTTTTCACTGATTGATCTATAGATTCAACATGATTCCAGTCAAAATCCCAACAGAATTTTTTTTTGGTAGAAATTGATAAGGTAGTTTAAAACTTTATATGAAAATGCCAAGGACCTAAAATAGCCAAAATGATTTTGGAAAAAATCTCAAGTTGGAAGACTCACTGTATTAGGCCATTCTTGCATAGCTATAAAGAAATACCTGAGACTGGGTCGTTCATAAAGAAAAGAGATTTAATTGGCTTGTAGTTCTGCAAGATAGCTGCATGGGAAGCATAGTGCTGGCATCTGCTTGGCTTCTGGAGAGCTTCAGGAAGTTTCCAATCATGGTGGAAGGTGAAGAGGCGGGGCAGGTGTATCACATGACAAGAGCATAAGCAAGGGTGGGGGAGGTGCCATACAACTTTAAATGACCAGGTCTTGTGAGAACTCATGATTGCAAAGTAGCACCAGGCCATGAGGGATCCACCCCCATGATCCAGACACCTCCCACCAAGCCCACCTCCAACATCGGGGATTACATTTTAACAAGAGATTTGGGCAGGGACAAATATCCAAACTATATCACTCACCTTACCTGATTTCAAGGCTATGTAAAACTATAGTAATCAAGACAGTGTATTAGATAAAGGCAGCTTACTGTAACAGAAAAGAGTCCAGAAATTGACCCAGACATATCTAACCAGTTGGTTTTTGAAAGTGTTATGCTAAACGAGAGAAGCTAGACACAAAGGATTACTTGTGCTATGATACCCTTTATATAAAATCCTCGAAAAGGTAAAACAATAGTAATAGAAAACAGATCATTCGTTAACAGAGAACTGAGATGGTACTTGGCTGCATAGATACACGTGGAAACTTTTTGGGCTGATGGAAAAGCTGTATATTGTGATTGCAGTGGTGGTTATAGGATGTATATATTTGTCAAAACTCCTCAAATTATACAATTAAAATGGATATATTTAGTTGTATGCAAACTATAACTCAGTAAAAGATCTGGATATATATTAGGGCATTGTCGGTACAATTTAAGCTTTCTTCGATTTGAAACCCTACTAAATAAAGGGGTTATCCATTTGAACATCAGGGATTGGTTCCCATCTCCAGGTAGTAGAGCACAGTGCATAGGAACTTGGACCAGAAAGTCAGGCTGTCTGGGTTCCAGTATCAGCTCCTTCACTGCGGCAAGCACACAGCTTCACCTGTCTGTGTCTCGGTTTCCCCATCTGTGTGAACTGACATGATTTAAGTGCTTACCTCATAGGGTTGTGAGGGTCAAATGCATTAATATATTTAAAGCATTGAGAACATTTCCTTGTGCATAGTAAGCTATATATAAGCATTCAGTATAATCATTAAGTTTTCAAATCAGTTTGTGTTATGATTTTACCTCTAAATGTGTTTTTGCCCTTTACCCTCACTTTAAACCATGTGCACTCATATAGTGTGAGGTTTTTAATAGAATGTTAGATCTGAAAGGGGTCTTGGATAACATCAGAATAAATATGGGCAACAATATTGAAACCAGTTAGGTTGAGTGATGTGCCCAAGGTCACAATCATATGTGACCAGAAGCCTGGCCAGGTGACTCCTGGTTCAGCTCTGTTTTATCAAGGGTTACAGTGTTTGCATTTTTAATACTAACCATTGGGATTGATCGCGAACCTGCCATTCATCAATTGCATTGTGTGGTGTTTGTTTTTCTACAGAGCAGTTCAGAGCCCCAGTTGCAGACGACTTGTCCTGCCACCACCATGAGCTCTGGTAAGTCATTTTAAACTCATCTTTCTCTTGTCATGTCTACCAAACTGGGCAGTTTACCCAGATTTCCCACGTACTCTGAAGGCCCAAGTGGCATTTTTTTATTTTTTACAACCTGGGTGAATGCCAAAGCTTTGTCATAAGTTGTCATCATCACTATCATCACCTTCATGGTTAATGATTTTTTGAGTGCTTACTACTATTGCCAAAGAACTGTGCAATACACTTTACATGCACATGAGCCTTCTTTCTCTTTATTGAGATGTAGCTGGCATATCATAAGCCACAGATATTTTAAGTATACAATTTGATAAAATTTGACATATGTATTCATCTTCTTGGCATTTCTTAATCTGAGTGACTGCAGCAAAAGTAAACAGATTGCCCATAATTGCTCCAGGTTGTGAGCTAATCTAATGCTTCCTTCATCCGGGATAGTACAACAGTTTGCTCCCTCTTTTGCTTTGCCTTTGGTACTAAAAGTCAAGACCTAAAGAAATAATTAGTTTTGAGTATTTTTTGTTTTGAGCTGGGGTAGAAAACATGGGTTAGGGAAGACAGAGAGGGGAGCAGATCCCTGCTCATCATGCAGCCAAGAGCTGTCAGCTTTCCAGCCCAGAATTGGAGCAGAGGAGTTTCCATCTGGAGATTAAGGCCCACCTAGGCTACTGAACATGCCCTGGAGCCTCCTGAGACCTGCAGGTGGGGCAGGCTGTGGGATGGGAGGATGACCCTCTCATTCAGGGTCTCTCAGTCTTGCAGTATTTTTTGAGTGTTGTCAGTGACCTCCGTGGATTAAAAATCACCCTTTTCCATTTATTTGCTAAGTTCTGAGTAGGATGATTTGTAATTAAGACCTAGGAAGGCTCTGGGGTGGAATAGCTCAGTCCCACACCCTGACCTCCTTGTTTACTGGTTGCATAGCCCTTCTGTGCATTTTCCTCTGCAAAAATGGACATAATAAAAGCACCAGTTCATTGGGATTTAGTGAGGATTAAGTGAGGTGATGCTTTTAATTAATTAATTAATTTATTTATTTATTTATTTTGAGATGGAGTCTTGCTCTGTCACCCAGGCTGGAGTGCAGTGGTGTGATCTTGGCTCACTGCAGCCTCTGCCTCCTGGGTTCAAGTGATTCTCCTGCCTCAGTCTCCCGAGTAGCTGGGATTACAGGCATGTGCCACTACATCCAGCTAATTTTTTTTTTATGTATTTTTAGTAGAGGCAGCGTTTTACCATGTTGACCAGGCTGGTCTCGAATTCCTGACCTCAGGTGATCCACCTGCAGATGTGAGGCACTGTTCCCGGCCTTAGGCAGTGCTTTTCAAGTGCTGAACTTTGTGTCCAAGGAATGGCGAGCGCTTCATCTTTGGTTTCTTATTGTTACAAGCTCAGAGTTCCTTCCTGCAAAGCCAGGGACTTGACTTCTCAGCAATTCCTTGAGTACTTTTGCTGTGTGCGAAGAGGCCGTGCCTCTTTTCCCCTCCAAGCAGGCTTGGTACTGCCAGTCGCTCCTGCATCATAACTCGTTTTGTGTTGTCTCCTTGGCTTTTTGCTTTTGTTGTCATTTAAAACAGGCCATGGTATTTTGCTTTTAACTTTTTCTCTGTAGACTAAAGCTACTTTTTCTTCCATTGTCGGAACTGGCCTAACTTTGCATTACCACTCCTGGCATTAGTGGCCAGAGAAGGAGGAAGGGAGGGGCCTGGAAGAAGGGTGTGGAAAAGCCTGGGAGACTTCTCCCCAGAATCGCTCTCTCAGGTCGGGGGCTGGAAGGAGGCATTGCCTAGGAAGCGTTCAGAAATTCTGGAGCCTTCGACCTGACGATCCCACTCTTGGGAATTTCTGTCTTAATTCCAAGGAAACAAAAACATCACCCACATGAAGCAGGGAGTGGCGGTGGGGGGGTATGAATAAGTAAGTTATGTGTATTTACTTGATGGAATATTACGCCGCTATTAAAATAGTCATTAAGAGAAAAGTAGCTACATGGAAAATATTTGTTTTAATCACCGGTGGAAAGAGCAGTGTAAAAATGGTGGATTCTCTTTATCCCAAGTTTGGGCCGGGCTGGCAGTCACCAAGAGAAGTTCTTCACCTGTATGATCTTGTTACGTTCTCCTGGAAAACCCTCACAGGCGGGGCGCAGTTTGTCACCCTCATTACACAGATGGAAAAACTGAGGCCCTGAGGGGTCAATAATATGGTTGGGATCACTCAGCTAGTGTGTAGTGTTGTTGAATCAAACTCAGTAAGTTGGACACCAACATTGTGCTGCAAAGGTTTGAATTTCAGGAGATGGAGTTTACTTTTCTAAAATTTCTTCAAGTTTGGTTGTTACATTTAATTAAAAGAAAGGAAGAACATGGGGCTGGGCCTGCCGGTAGCTCAGAGGCTGCGCCACACTAGCTTGGGGAGGCCTGGAGCAAGGCCACAGTCACAGAAGGATCTAGAGCAGGTACTTGGATTTCTGGCCTTCTCGCCAGCACCCCCCTTCCACGCATCTCAGAAATAAGAGTTCAAGGGAGATATCTGGGAGAATTGGCCTTCACCTGTAGGTGGATGTGGGGAATTAACAGGACACAGCCTGTGGGGCCAGCATGGGGACATCCAGGCACCAGGCGGGTTAGTGGCCCTGCTCGTGTCTGGCCACAGGCAGCATCCAGACTAGCCTGTTGGTGTGGTTTACAGCAGGCATCCACCCTTTGGGGAGGCTGATTGTTAACAGCTTAGGTTTAGTCTCAGCCTAATGAATTACAGGGGTGTGAGACTAAGCTTCAGTCCCAGCATTTAGAGATATAGAATTTATATATCTATATGTATACATCAGGAAACCCAAATGTTTATCCCATTTGGGTAGTAAGAAGATGAGCTGTGAGATGGGCAGACCAAAGTTCAGATTTCAGCCTAGTGATTTTGGGCAGGCCTGGAATCTTCTCTGCCTCAATTTTCTTATCTATAAAATAGGCATTCCTAACTCCTAGTTCTCGAGGTCTGAGTCTTAAGGATAAAATGAGATGCTAATTATAGAATGATAAGCATGGATCCTCAGATCTAGGCAAGTCGGTGTTTAAAAACCCAAACATGATTATGTTTGTAGCATGGTTAACTCTGGGCTTGAAGGGGGTTCCTCCAACACACATGTCCCAAGGTGACATGGCCTGCCCACCTGCCTTTCTTGGCCTGCCTCCATCTATTTTGGGATGGGGACCTGGGTGGGGCTTAGGTTGCAGGTGAACAGGGAGGGTCTCAGTTTCTGTAACTGAGCAGAACTCAGGAAACTCTCAGACAACACAGAAGACATGACATCCGAGGAGAGCCTCAAGGGTGCATGGAATTTCCATCAGGTGAGAAGGGAGGAGGAATCATTCTTGGCAGAGGGTCTCATAGGAACCAAGGCCTAGAGGTCTGAAAGTGTCTGACAGGGCAGGACCCCTCCCTCTGTTTCCTCCTGACTCTGACTCCAGCACCTGGTGCCATGTAGGACTCAGTAAGCGCTGGGGCAGCATACTCACAAACCTCATGCTCTCTTTGTTTCTTGCAGAATGTGATGGTGGTTCCAAAGCTGTGGTGAATGGCTTGGCACCCAGCAGTAATGGGCAAGACAAAGGTAAGGCTCTTAGGGAGACGCCTGGATCAGTACTGGAAAGTATTTCTTTTATTTTCTTTTTTTTTTTGGGACGAGGTTTTCTCTGTCTCCCAGGCTGGAGTGCAGTGGCACAATCCTGGCTGACTGCCACCTCTGCCTCCTGGGTCAAGCAATTCTCCTGCCTCAGCCTCTCAAGTAGCTGGGATTACAGGCACCTGCCACCACGCCTGGCTAATTTTTGTATTTTTAGTAGAGACAGGGTTTTACCATCTTGGCCAGGCTGGTCTTGAACTCCTGACTTGGTGATCCACCTGCCTTGGCCTCCCAAAGTGCTGGGATTACAGGCGTGAGCCACTACGCCCGGCCTGTACTGCAAAGCATTTCTAAAGTTGTGGAGTAATGCAGGCTGGGGCCATCCCATCTGCCTGGTGTGAACATCACTGGCCTAACCAAGACATAAACTGGAGACCTGTTCCCCACACTGATTTTCTGAGACCCGGAACCTGTTCTTGTATTTCAGGAGTCTGAGACTGCCATTTTCCCACTGTGAGGTATTAAAAACTTTCCCTAGCTCAGAACGTTGCTGTGAATAACTGTTCAGATACATGGACCAAGGCATACTTAATTTCTGGTACAGATGGCATTTATCAGCCTGAAATATCCCTTGCTCAGCCTTTCACCTTCACCTATAATAAACAGTGATGTGTTCACAGTCCTGACCCTAAGGCAAGAGCCTAAATCATTAGAATAAATTATTTCATTGGCATTAATTTTATGCACATCCTCTCATAGTTTCAGTTTTTAAAAATTTTAGGAGAAAGATTTAAATGTGAAATGAATGATGGGTGTGATGACCTTTGAGGTACTCCTTGGCGTGGAGACTTTCATCCTGACCTCAGTGTGGCTGCGCAGACAGCCTGGCTACAGGGCCCATGGTCCACTTTTACTGCATGGTGTGATGGACACTCCAGCTGGAGTGACAAAGCATGGGTTCAAGTCTCAGCTCTGCCACTCATTAACAGGACATCTTGAGAGGTCCTTTATCTTTGTGGATGTGGGTTCCCTTATCTACAAGATGAGGGAATCTTATGATCTGCTGTATTTATTTCTGCCTCAAATTCAGAATTGGAATGAACACTCATCCAACTAAATCTTACGGTATACAAGAGGAAGGGCGAGAATCCTGGCATTGGGCATTTAAGTCAAGATGCATTTCTCAAAGAATAATTTGAAACAATTTGGCATTTTGACCTTTGTAATTTCCGTCTGGATCAGCAAAGTGTTCCTTTTAAGACACGGCAAAGTGTGAACTAAGAGGAAGCAGCTGTAGAGGGTAGGGTATGCCGAGACACTGGGAGGGGTTGGGGTACAGGGCCCAGGTGGTGTGGGGGTGGGTTCCTTGGTGGCAGGAGGGGACCTGCCATGCTCCTGTTCTTGCCTCCCTGTCTGACCTCCCACCTGCACCCCTGGTGTGGAATCCTGTACAGTCTCTACCAAGTTGTCCTTAGGGAACTTTGAAGGGCAGTGCTGTGGAGTGGCTGCAGGCATGTGTTTAGCATCCAGTGAGGAGCATGGGAAGGAGAGGGGCCCTGTGTGTTTAAAACCTGTGGGGTCATCAACCCCACTCATGTGAACTCATTTATGCAAGAGACTTAAGGCATGTGGAGGAGGGTGGCATGTGGAGTGGGCCCCATTCTCTCCTTGGTGAGACTCACCTTTGTCTGGAAACAAGCAGGCAGAAGTCATCTGAAGGGCATCAGAGTGGCCTGAGGTCCCTGAACCGGAGCTGGGATAGCTAAGCTCCAGTCTTAGCCTCTGTCTGAGAACCAAATGAGCCTGAGCAGTTCGCTGAGCCTCTTGCTTCCTCTGAAAATGGTTACAAAAGTCTCCCCCAAGCCTATCTCCCAGGTGGAGCAGACAGAAGGATGCTGTAAGAGCACATTTGTCTTTAATACATGCAGTAGTGTCATTTGCAACCTAGTCCTTGATAGCCAGGTGCTGTGTGACTGCCCCATACCTTACGAGGTCAGCTGACAGCAGGACGGACTAGAAGGTGCACTGCCCCTGGCAGACAGGCCTCCCTTCTGTTGCCTTGATAGGCTCACCAGGATGATGCTGACTCTGCAGTGGTGATCTTGCTCCCAGGCAGCCCTTCCTGCTGTGATTCTATAGATCTGTGGCCACAGTTGACTTTGGCACCCTCGCACAGAGCTCCTATCCCTCTTTATGTGCTGCCCTTAAGAGAGAGTATGAGGGGAGGCCTCACAGCAGGCTCATTGTGAGAAGAGTTAGGGATGTGCCTATCATGAGATTACAGAATCTGGGCAGGCAGGGAGCCCAGAGACCCTGTAGATAGATAAGTGTGGGCACCCAGGACATTTGAGCAGTGGCCTTCACTGCATCCTGGGCAGGCAGCCCTACTCTGCCTTAGCTCAGCTGGGCATCGGGGTCCTGGGCTGTACACTTGGGTGCTGCCCAGAGACTACATATGCTCTTGGACACTTGGCACCTCCTGACCAGGAAAGGGTGGGTTTAAGCAAGGCCATCTGCTGTCCAACAGATGGGGGTTCTGATTTGCTTGGGGCCGGAGGGCTATGATTGTCAGAGCAGGCACAAGACCCCAGAAGCTATGCTGTGGGGGAAGTACCTCTGGTGGCTGAAGGGACCAGGCAGCTCATGATCTTATTCCTTTGTTCCTTCACTCATCTGGAGCCCACGGGCCGCAGCCCTCCTCCTTGAAGCCCACTCCCCAGCCTTCTCCCAAGAGGCCCTGTGGACCCTGAGTGCTCTCCTCTACCTCCATTTGCCAGGCCATCTGTGCCTCTGTAAATCTTTGTCCAGAGCCTTGGCAAGCTCCTGGTGTGGCAGGAGCCACCGATCAACACTGACCAGCTGTATTTGGGTGATTATTGGGGGGAGGGGCCTGTCGTCTTGGCCTAGAACTCTAAAGAGAGAAAGCAGGTTATTTTTAATTACTGCGTCTACTGCCCTTTGTATTGTTCTTGTTGTGTGGGCGACTTCCTCCTATTGTCCCTGCCCAATTCCTCAACTGCCTGAGTGTTTCCCAAATGTTCTTTCTGGATGCACCATTTACCCTTTTGTGTTTTCAGCAACTGCCTACCCTTTACGTGCACGCTCTATTTCTGCTGTTAAAATCATTCCTGTGAAGACAGTGAGAAACGCCTCAGGCCTAGTTCTCCCTCCAGGTATCTCCTTGGGTCGGTTGATTTTCTTTAATTGTGAGCGGATCATGGCATGGTTTTCCTTTCTTCTTTTCTTCTAACACACGCTTTGAGCTGAATCCTTGCATGTTTAGCAGGCATTCCTTCTTACTTCCTCAGCTTGTTTCCTTTTCTCTTCTGTGTGCGTACATGAATGTCTGTGTCTGTTTTTCTGGGAGCCAGTGAGTGTGGGGAAGAACTGAGGACAGAGGCCTTGCCCCTCTTTCCTTTAGGAGAAGGGTCAGTCGACAGCCTCAGCTTTCACTTTGGGATGGGGCTGAGGTGCATGGACATCCTAGGCTCTCCCTAGAGGTTTCCAACTCCAAGTACTTTAGCAGAAACTGCAGTCTCCTTGAGAATTAACCTGGTCTCATAGAGAACCTCTGAACTGGGCTGAATTTGAAGCAGCTGCCTTAGGTGTCAAACCTAGACTCGCCTCTGCGATGCTCACTGGGCCATCCCAGAGCATCCCCTGTGCCTTCCCGGATTTTCTGCAGCCACTTCCTGCCTCTCCCCTCCAGGGGTTGGGGGAGTTACAGCTCAGATGTCAGTTTTGTATAAAGTGGGACACGTGAGGCCTGTGCAGTACTTTATCCAGTGGCACTTTCAGAAGTAACTGGGCTGTGTGTTTAGGAACCTATGGATGGGCTGCACCCATCAGTGTCCTCTTCGTCCTTTTGAAGTGACCAGGAACCAGTTTTCCCACTAGTTTGGTGACATCAGTCACTTAGCCTTTTGATAGAGTTGGATAGGTCAGATGCTCTCCAAGGCTGTTGCTTGCCCCACCACACGTAGTGGGTTTTATGCATTGCGTTCAATACAAGAGGTGCTGACAAGGCAGGTCTGTTCTCTTCTCTAATGCTAATGATCATTCTCTGAGTTGTTGGAAGGGGGCTGCTGACATGAAAAGCAAGGAGAGAAGAGGCTTTGCTTCTCCCTGCCCTCAGATGGGAATGGGGGTGAGTTGGACATCTGAACTCACATACCCAAACACACACCCTGAATGTCAACCTGTAATCCTAATTGTGACAATTTTGGGTCAGGGATCTAGGCTGTGAGCAATCGGAAAACAAAAGAAAACTGTGGTGTTCTGCATAGCTCAGCTGCACATAAGGAAACACTGGAGTGTGTGCCTGCCGGAACTGTGTGGTGTGCCCCGGTTCCCTGCCTGCCTGTGACTGATTTTCTGCAGGATGGCATTCAGACCTTTTGAAGCGTATTTTGAAATCTTTCTCGAGGAAACTTTCAAAGTTGACCCAGGTCTGTTATTAGGTCCTAGTGAAACTGTAGGAGATGCCAGGACCCTGGGAAGACAGCTGAGGCTCAGTGGACACTGCTCATTGAAGGATTTAGCCTTTTGGGTCATTTTTGTTGCTGTGAGTTTTCTTTGTTAGTTTGGAAAGTGAGGCTGTTACTCATGAGCTTTCTCGCCAGGCAGCTTATCCTTCTGTCTCAGCAATTTGGGAGTCTTGACTTGCCGATCCAAGGTGATTTGCTTTTCCTTTTCCCACTGGAAAACTGCAAGGAGTAGTTGTTCTCCATAGAACACCACCCCTGCCCCCACTTCCCTACATCGCCAGCTTGGTTTTTAATGAGAAGGATGGTCTGGAAGCTTGAGACATCTTTCATAAACTTTCTTGAACTGTGCCTTACTAACTGGTCAGAAGTCTGCTCACCAACCCAAATGTCATTTAATCAAAGGCATAAACCTGCTTTTATTTTGAAATGTTTTCAGCTGATATTGTAACTCATCCATTTACTCTGAACTCACCATTGCCGCCACGTTCCCCTAACTTCATGATGCACAGTAAACCTCTGAAAACTTGCCCCTCTCCACCACCCACAGATTAATTTCCATTGGCCACAAGTGTTTGAAGACTTTGCGTGGCTGTAACCAGGTTCATCTCATTCCCTAGCTATAACAATTTGCTAACCAACTGTCCTTTAATCTTTCAGGATTCTTAGATTAAGTCTTCTCTTTTGGACCTTTTCTTTTCAGACATGGATCCCACGAAAATCTGCACTGGAAAGGGAGCAGTGACTCTCCGGGCCTCGTCTTCCTATAGGGAAACACCAAGCAGTAGCCCTGTGAGCCCTCAGGAAACCCCGCAACACAAAAGCAAACCAGGTGCGCTGAGGCTGGGGGAGATGTTCAAAGCCACATGGGAAGGGTGGGCGGATGCTCTGGTGTTTTTGCTCAGGAGGGTGTGAATTCATCAGATGCCTCCTGGTTCTCTCAGGGTTCCCTGGGATAGTCAGCTCCTTTTGATGGATAGTGGTCAAAACCCCAAACTAACAGTCACATGCTGCAGATGAAGGCACAGAAAAGACCACCACTTTATGTTAGCTTTGACTGAGCAGGTCATCCTGTGGCAAGAGCCAGTGCTCTGCAGACAGTACTCATGCAGATGGAAATGACTTACGGCATGGGGGGTAAACGGTGAGATGAGCTAGAGGTTGGGCTTCTCAGAGCTCATCCCTGAATCCTAGAGGTTCGCTGTGGCCTGTCCAGGCAGGGCTGGGCTGGAGGTGCAGCCAGGGGAGACTGAGAATTGTGGTTGACCTTGCTTGCTCCTGGGAAAGCAGAGGTGGGCAGGGCTCAGGCCTGGGATGGCCACCAGCCAGCTGGGGGAGCAAGATCAGGAGAAGTAGTTTCAAGGCCCAGTGTAAACTAGGAGCAAAGGAAGATCGAAGAAGCCACATGAAGCCCATCTCCTCACCTTAATCCATCACTTGAGAAACCTGAGGTATTGAGGTTTAGAACTGGGACTTCAGGGCCGGGCGCAGTGGCTCATGCCTGTAATCCCAGTACTTTGGGAGGCCAAGGCTGGCAGATTATCTGAACTCAGGAGTTCAAGACCAGCCTGGCCAATATGGTGAAACCCCATCTCTACTAAAAATACAAACATTAGCTGAGTGTGGTGGCGTGTGTCTGTATTTCCAGCTACTTGGGAGGCTGAGGCAGAAGAATCGCTTGAACCCAGGAGGTGGAGGTTGCAGTGAGCCGAGATTGCGCCATTGCATTCCAGCCTGGTGACAGAGACTCCGTCTCAAAAAAAAAAGAACTGGGACTTCAGAACCTAATAAATCTCTGTGTACACCCTGCCAACCCTAATGAACTGTAGAATGGGATTGGTAACTGCATCTGCCTCGTAGGATCATTTTGAGAAAGAAGTGTATGAAGCACTGTGTATCATTCCTGGTGGTATGGACTAGACTGTTAGATGTTAGCTGCTATTTGCTTATGCTCAGATTATTTTGGCTTCGCCAGAGATGACTTTCCATGGCCCAAGTATTCTGGGAGTTGGCAAATGCTGACTTTGAGATCAGGCACAGTTAGTTTAGGGTAAGACAGCACCTCTCCACTCTGTAGGGCAGTGTCTTTCACACCTTAGCTGCATCAGAATCACTTGGAGTAAAAGGATAGGTTGCTGGGCCCCAGCCCGGAGTTTTCGAATGTAGGATTCCCACTTGCAGGTCTGAGGTGGGGTCTGAAGTTTTGCATATCTGATAGGTTCTTAGGTTGTGCTGATGCTGCTAGTGCAAGGACCGTATCTGAGAGCTGCTGCTGTAGGGGTGTGAGCTTGCTTTCTTGAAGGAATTGGAGGGAGCAGTTGAATGGAGGGAAGGACCACTCCCTTGGGACCAGAGAGGAAGGGCAGTAGGGTGCACAAACCCCTCTAGTGCAGCAGGAGTGGTGTGTTGTGATAAGATAGACATGATGTGTAGGATGGAAATGGCCAGACCTAGCATTCTGGAAACTGACTTTCATCCTGTCCAGCCGCCCATAACAGGTGTTGGGACACCTGCTGGCAGATGAGGCCAGGCTAGGGTTTGAGCACAAACCCCTTTCTAGTGATGTTGGTCCCTGTGAGGGCTTCTTCATCCTTAGTCTGAGGGAGGCCCGAGCAGCCCACAGCCTTAAAAGTCGACAGAGTAGCTTCTTGGTCCTGTATTCCTGAGCCCAGCCCTGACTTCTGACCCGCTGCAATTTGCTTTTCTGCTCTCAGAAAGGTGGGGGTGAGGAGAGAAGGCAAAGTTGTTTTATTCTAGGGCTAACTTCATCCAGCCTCTCTAAGCCTAACTGGGAAGACCCAGCTCCCAAGCTAGAGAGCGTTTGGAGAAAAAGAGAGAGTCCCTAAGGGATGATGCAAAGAGAAAGGCCTTATGTGCAGTCCCTTGGCCCAGTCAAATGACCTTACAAACCGCCTGTCCCATCCTCTGATCGCAAATGGAGAGGGAGCCTGGAGCTCCCTCTAGTGGTTACAGTATGGCATTGACGCAGAACACAAATATGTCCACCAAGTGCACGCCTGTACCAGTGCCTCCTAGTACCATGTGGATTTTTTTTTAATTTTTTTTTTGACATGATCTCAGTCTCTTGCCCAGGCTGGAGTACAGTGATGCAATCATGGCCCACTGCAGCTTTGACCTCCTGGGCTCAATCTGTCCTCCCACCTCAGCCTCCCAAGTACTGAGGTGCACGTCACCACACTTGGCTAGTTTTTGTATTTTTTGTAGAGACAGAGTTTTGCCATGTTCCCCAGGCTGGTCTTGAACTCGTAGGCTCGAGTGATTCACCTGTCTCAGCCTTGCAAAGTGCTGGGATTACAGGGGTGAACCACCAAGCCCTGCCCTGTATATGGATTTGAGGCACTGTTGGAAACACTGTCTTATCCCAAAATAGGTTTGTGTCTTACAAATTTCTACCAACTAATTAGGTGAAAAGAAACGTTACCAAATCTGTTTCACCAAACCATAACCTCATTGTTTTAAAATGCAAATACTGTGCTCGGGAGAATTAAGGGATAGCTATCAGTCATTCACACCTTACAGTAAGTTCATCTTTGTGAATGGAGATCATCAAATCCAAATGAGCATGCATTCATTCAGCATTATCTGTGTGCCAGGTGCTAAGCGAGTTACTTGGGATTGTGATGAGAAAGGAGGAAAATAGAACAATTCTAGGTGCATTTGGTGAGGGCAAAAGGCAGTACGTTATTGCAGCATGAGTCAGGTGTGGACCTGCAGCCAGCCACCTTGCTTTTAGGCTGTGGGTAAGTCCTAGTGACTTTGAGCCTATATCAAGTATGAGGGTCTTGGGTCAGATGCTTTCCAAGCCTTTCTAGGTCCAGAATGCTCTTGACCTTAGGAAGTTTGGAAATTAGCCCGACACACATGGAATCCCTTTGATTGGGGATAAATTTAAGATGGTACAGCAGGGCGGTTTGGATGAAAAGGAACAAGCTGGGTTGAGAAGAGGAAACAGAAAAAACTCCACATGCTCATTAAGGGTACAAAGCAGGCTAGAATGAGCTAATGCTCGGGAGTGGGCTTAAAAGAGGATGTGAGTGGGCCAGGCATGGTGGCTCATGCCTATAATCCCAGCATTTTGGGAGGCCGAGGTGGGCGGATCACTTGATACCAGAGTTTCGAGACCAGCCTGACCAACATGATGAAACCGCGTCTTTACTAAAAATACAAAAATCAGCGAAGCATGGTGATGCACACCTGTAATCCCAGCTACTCGGGAGGCTGAGGCAGGAGAATCGCTTGAAGTAAGATCATGCCACTGCACTCCAGCCTGGAAGACAGAGCAAGATGCTTTTTCAAAAAGAAAAACAAGAAGTGAGGATGTGAGTGTAGACAGTTGAGGAATGGGAATCTTGTCCCCTTACCATGCTACCCGTTGGCTAGCATCCTGCTGGTTCTTGACTCTGGCAGTGTCCACTTGAACCTCAAGATGACAACTTGCTGGCCCATACCAGTCTATTGTCCTATCTTGGGGCCTGGGAGCTCCTGGGCCTTCCCTGGCTTCATAAAAACAGTTTTCAGCAGTATTTGCAGACAGCCATGCCTAGTCTGGATGGGGAGCCTAAGGGTGAGGCAGTGGATGGCTCTTGCCAAGGATTGCTTCCTACTCTCAATGCCTTTGCAGACAGCTAATGTTAGATGGCATCTGGCACCCTCCCTTCTCTCTAGGGACAGCCTTTGTCCCCCAGCTGCTCTGTCTGCTTTCTCTCTGACTTGCTCCTCATTTGCCACCTTCTTCAATGCCTATAGGTGTCCAGGTTGCTGACTATTTGCCTGGGCTGGAAGCTCCAGTCCCTACATGACTGGGACTACAGGTGCCTGCCACCATGCCCAGCTAATTTTTTTTTTTGTATATTTAGTAGAGACAGAGTTTCACTGTGTGGGTCAGGCTGGTCTCGAACTCTTGACCTCATGACCTCATGATCCACCTGCCTCTGCCTCCCAAAGTGCTGGGATTACAGGCGTGAGCTATAATTCTAGCACTTTGGGAGGTTAAATGAACTCTTTCATGTCAAGCATTTAGCACAGGCCCAAAGTAAGTACCCTTTAAGAATAACCATTCTAGTTCCTGCAGGTCAAGAGGCTTGTTAAGCATAATTTCAGTTTGAAGCCATGAGGGCCTGATCCTAGCATGGTGGCAAAGGGAATGAAGAGAAGAGGCTGAGGGTAAAAGTGTCTTTTGGAGAATGAAATGACCAGGGCTCCTCGTGGTGTATTTAAGGACCACAGAGAGGCAAGACTCCAGGAGATGTCTTCCCTGGTTGGCTAGGAGAGTAATTGTGTCACTAATGGAGATGGGGGGGATTTGTGAAGAGTGATGAAAAGAATGTTGAATTCCATTTTTTGACATGTTGAGTTTCTTGGCAAGGGAATGACTTCTAGGAAAATGTTTCTAATGGGAATTTGGAAATTTGGAGTCCAGTGCATGGATTTGGAAGCCATCTGCATCCACATGAACTTTGACAGAATGGAGACATTCTCAGGGGTGGAGTGACAGATAGAGCCCTTGAAACTACCCAGTTAACACTCATTCTCCAGACTCCTCCGTTCAAGTGGTGGCTTAACTCAAGATCCCTGACCACAGCTTCCTGATCAGCCGCCTCATCTCTGATTGTGGACCTTGGTTTTTGGATCAGAACAATCTGAAAGGAATGGCAGTAATCTTAGTACTGACTCCCTTCCCCTCGAAGAAGCCTCATCACCTTATCCCTGCCTGCTGACCTCATTGCCACACCAGGCCTGAGCATTGGCGATGTTGGTTCAAAAGTGACTTGATCATGTCCCATGTCAGGATGTTTTCACTCCAGACAGGGAGCCTGAGCTGGTGGTGGGTGTGATACGAAGCTTCTTGTCTGGTATAGTCTAAAGATCTTGTGGCTTGATACATCAATTCCTGTGTTCTGACTCAGATGCCAAGGTCAGTTAAGCCCTTATATTTTGTTAATTCTGTACCAGTTGTCTCCAGTCCTTATTGCCTGATTCTTGAGTGCAAAGTTAGCTTTGGACGTAAAGAGTCTTAGACCTGTGGTCAAATTATTTCCTCTGGTTTGACCCTCACATTTGCTCTCCAGAAACGGCAATAGCAAAAAGGTACCATAAGAAGGTTACCATTGAAGCAGTTAAAGGTACCCCATCTTTCATTAAATGAGAGTCTTTTTGATGAGTACACGTGTGAGAATTAGGGCCAGCTGAGAAGTTGGAGGGAGAAGTCCTCACAAGAGTTCACCCTTCCTTCTGACACCAAGTGCAAGTTCAGGGGATTCCCAAAACCACTCTCAGGTTTGCTAAAACACTAGAGGGACTCACGTAACTTATTGAAAGCTGCTACACGCAGCGTTATGGTTTATTACAGGGAAAGGATACAGAGAAGATGCATATAGGGTGGAGTCTGGGAGAGGTACCAAATGCAGAGTTTCTGTTGCCCTCACTGCATAGAGGCAGGACATGTTATTTCCCAGCACTGATGTGTGACAGTGTTCTCAGAGCATCGTCAATCAGGAAATGTACCCGAGCCTTTGTACCGTGGCTCCGTTACATAGGCATCTCAGTCTCCAGGCCAACTTCCTAATCTGTTAAGCTCCTGCTGGCTCAAAGCCCCCATCCCAAGTCACATAACTGGTGGACTCAAAGCCCCAGATAAACAAAGTCACTCCTATCAGGCATGACTTTCCAAGAGCCCAGGGATTACATCCCAGAACCTGAGGGCAAAGGCCAGACCTCTTTTTGGATAAAGTTAAATTCTCTACTGTACAGCATGAATGCAAAATAAACACAAATAAGATTTGGAACACCCTTAGACTTACTATAACACCTGTCATCTACCTCTTGAATACTCTTATGAGAACACATCAAGATGACTCAATGAAAATTATCTTAAGATCCCAAGAAGAACTGATCAGCAGAAGACTTTAGAATAGGTCAAAATGAAATGAGCATAGATTGAGATAAAATAAAATATCAGGAGGCTACAGCCACAGGCCAGAAAAGATTGCAAATAAAAAACAGCTGGAGGAAAAGATAAGGCCAAGTAAATTATGCTTCTTGCGGAAAGGGTAGGTCTCTCGGGACTGCAAAAGCTCTCTAGGATCCAACTTTCCAAGGCACTCTCCCAACCTTGGGAGCTCTAAGGTAACGTTTATTGAAAGAAGCATTTTGACACTCTCTTCAATCAGGAGTTAATAATGGATGATTATGTGTGCAAAATTTCATACTGCTGCATGCAGGCACAAATGGCCCCAGGCTGCTACCAACCTTCCAGGTTCAGAAGATGAGGTAATAGATGAAGGATGACAAGATGTCAGAAATACAGCTGTCCTTTAACAAAAAAGAGAGGAACATTTAAGAGGTCCTGGGAACTGCCTTTTTGGGGTAGGGTAAGGAGAATAGTTTTAAAGACTTGGAATGAGAAGAAAAAGTGGATCTATCCCTAAGGATCTTAAAGCTATTTAATCACATGGCAGAGATCAACAATGCTCATTTTTGTCCATGGGTTTTTTTCCCCTTATGCTCTGAATTCTGATTTTGCAAAGCACATGCTTTATGCCAGATACTTTCATTTAGTGCTTATGATTCAAAGAGGTAGATATTAACTCCATTTCACAGGTGCGGCCAGGTCATTTGTTGCAGTATGTACAGTTAGCAAGATAGAGACTCAGGGCTGAAACTAGGCAATCTGATGTCACAATGATGGTCCCTTCATGATACCTGGAGGTTTGGAAGAACAGTTCACATCTCAGCTTTCCATTACATCCCTGTTTGCTAACATTCCATTACATCCCTGGCCTGCCAGGTGTAAGGGGAGCTCTGGGCTAGGGATCCGGTGGGATGCAAAGTACTCGGAGGTACTTTCATGTACTTGATCTTTTTATTCTTAAAGATTCTCCAGTTCTTCAATTGGAGAGAATCAGAGAATTATACTCCCTGTGAGGAGTATGGGGTAAGGATTATATTTTATAGATGAGAAAGTGAAATTTAACATCACTCAGAACCTTTACCCTGCCTTGCTTTTTCTTTTTGGCCCCCACCAACTCTCTGAAGCCTAGCATCCATTTCATGGCTGATAGTGAGGCTGGTGGCTGGCGGCGGTGATATGTTTGGATTCTGGAGACTTGGACCGACTGCTTTGTCACTTCCTGGCTGTGTGACTTTGGGCAAGTCAGGTGGCCTCTCTGTTTCCACATCCATGAAGGACAGTGATTACCGACTTCACAGAGTTGTTGTGTACACTGAACTCAAACTACATGGGTGTAGCAGTGACTCACAGTGGCACTTAGAGAGATGTTGAGTAAATGTCTGTAAATCTCAACTTGGCATCTGGAAAGCCCACGTCCAGCCCTGGAGGAACCCACACTGAATTGGAGGCTTGGGCAATGAGACTGTGGTATTAGTTCCTCTTTCTCTACATGGTGAGGCAAGAGGAGGCAGCCAGGGAGAAGGGGTTAAGGCTTGACCAGATTAGGGATTGGCAAACCGAGGCTGTGAGTGAAATCTGGCCTGTGCCTTTTTTTGTACAACCCTCGAGCTAAGAATGGCTTTTACATTTTTTAATGGTTTAAAGAAAAATCAAAAGAAGAATGGTATTGTATGCCACATGAAAATTATATGAAATTCAGATTTTAGTGTCTATAAATAAAGGTTTATTGGAACACATCCATGCTCATTCATTTACATATCATCTGTGGCTGCCTTTGTCCTACAAAAGCAGAGCTGAGTACTTGCATCTGAGACCATATGGCTCATAAAACCTAAAATATTTACTATCTGGCCCTCTAAAGAAAAAGTCTGTGGACCTCTAGGTTAGATCAAGGATAGAGAATAGAGACACGAGATGATACAGAAGATGATGATAAATAGCAAATATTTACTGAGCTTCGCCAGGCAGGCCTTTCACATGCATATATGTTCTTATTAACAACACTTATAAAACAGGCATATTGTTATCTCCATTTTTCAGATGGGCAAACTGAGGCTTATAACTTGCCCAGGGTCATAGAACCCTTAGGTGGTAGACCCAGGATTTGAATTGAGGCCGAGCTGTTGTCCCGGTTGGGCTGGTAAGCACTGCACTCTGCTGCCTAATATCTGGATCAAACTAGGAGAGGTTTAGTATCTCTGAAATGCATCAGACAGTGGCTGGGAAGGCTGAAGGGAGACAAGGATGCTTTATAATGTGATGAATACTCAGGAAGGGTGATTAGATTTTGAAATGTTTATGTGGCTCATTTAATGGAAAGAAGAAAAGCAGACAGGAAGAAAAAAAAGTCTTTATCACAGCAGATACCTCTTGGCTTAAGTCATGTTCTGCCCCTTAGCCCAGTACCAACATCCCTGGAAAGTGTGTTTTAACACTTCTGTCTCTCCTGGGCCTGTTAGTTGGGAGCGGTCATTCTGAGCCCACAGCAGGCTGGAGGAAGGGGAATGAGAGTCAGTGAGTAGGGACTAGCCAGTAGAGAATTCTGTTGCCTTTTTGTCTGTAAAACAAGAATGTCAAGTAACAATTGTTTCTTCATCCCTGTGAATGTGAGCCTTGTGTTTTCAAAGGTCAGTGCCTGTGAGCACATCATGGTTTTGAGTGGGTTCCTATGGTAATTAGGCCATCGTGACTGAGGGCATTTTGTGTCAGACAACGGGGTGCTGGATTTTCATCCTTCTATGCAGTTCATGCTTGTTTCCTGCAAATGTAACCATTTCTGTTTTTCCCCTTTTCTTGCTTTTATCCTTTCTGTACCACATGTAGGGCTGGAGCCAGAGCCTTCGTCTGCAGGTATGGTTTCTCTTGCATTCTTACCATCCTGGCTTTCTACCAAGGACCCCTGAGTTAAAGGGGAACCAGGGAGTTATTCCCTGTAAGTGAGAGGTTTTTTCCTTCCTGTTTCTCAGATGAGTGGAGGCCTTCTTCCAATGCTGATGCCAATGGAAATGCCCAGCCTTCTTCACTCGCTGCCAAGGGCTACAGAAGTGTGCATCCCAACCTACCTTCCGACAAGTCCCAGGTAGGCGTGTGCCCAAGGGGAGGGTCGGGACTGGTGGAGCAGTACCTGTTCTTGAGTCTCTTAGGCCGGTGACTTCCTGCCTTCCCAACTGGATAATGGAATAGGTTTCAAGCTTTTGGACAACTCCGGATAAGCTCTGCAAGGGCCAAGCTAGGGGTATGTTGGGGTCAAGGGGAGCAGAGGCATGGAATGAAGCTGATCTGTACCAGGGTGTTGGAAAATAGGCCCCGAGGCTTTCTAGGTTTGTTATGTATGTAGAAGTGTTCTGAAAGAGGGAATTCATTTAGCCTTGAATACGTAGGAAAAAGGTCTGAGATGTCTAAAAAAAAATTATTTAGAGTGTAATATTCAAGAGAAGAATGTATCTTGTGTTTATTTCAGTTGTTTTCTGGAGATGGGGCTATAAGAACTCCAGCGACAGTATCCTTAGATTCAGATCAGGTAGCTGTGGCCAGGCCCTAAGTCCAGCAGCCCAGGAACAGGCAAAATGTCAGTGCAGCCCAGCTCTATCCTACAGAAGAAGATCCCCCACAGCTGTACAAATTGGAGTAAGGATACCTTTGCTTAAGTCCTTCCCCCCTAGGTGGCTTTCCTGATCTTTCTTCCTTCCCTCTTCTCTTGTTACTTTGTCATTTTGATGAAGGGAATACACCATGTTTTAATTTAGGTGACCTGCGACGAACGTTTTTACATACAGGAGCCACATCTGTGGGATGGACTACTACTCCTTTCTCTCCCCTCCTCTCCCCTCCCCTCTTCTCCATCCCTCCCCCGCCCCCCGTCCTTTCTTTCTCTTTCTGCATCTCTCCTTTTTTAAGACAGGGTCTCTATCTGTTGTCCAGGCCAGAGTGCAATGGTGTCCTCATAGCTCACTGAGGCCTCTAATAGCTGGCCTCAAACGATTCTCCCACCTTGGCTTCCCAAAGTGTTGGGATTTTAGGTGTGGGACATCACATCTAGCCTAGTCCTTTCTCTTAAAGGAAGCTGTGCTGCTCAAAAACGATTGCAGAAATGTGTTCCTTGTGTGGTCTATTTCCCTGTGCCTTCCTTCTGTGAAGGTGTTCGCAGAACTCACGAGAAGTCTGGAAATTCTGTAGGTTCTTCTTAGTTTCCACCCCACTTCTCCAATTATCCTCTGGTTCCTGCTTCTGAGGATGTAAAATTGCACTTGCTGCTGAAATGAAGCTGAATCAGAGATGGTTTTCTCTCTCTTTACAGATGTCTGTCTTCCCCAGCATGGAATTGGTTGCTTAATTGTCTGCCTTAGGCAACAAACACATTTAGCAATAAACACATGTAGCCTTTCTACCACCTGCCATGACTTTCCTCCCTAGGTACGACCATATGCATCCAGGGTCACTGGTTAGAACCAGGAGCTATGAAAGAGCCTGGCTTTCTGAAGTCCTCTTTAGACACAGGGACTGGGGAGGTCACTTGTCCGGTAAATGACTTGCCATGGTTTTCCCATTCCTAAACCCTTTTGCAGTGTATAAATGTGCTGCCTGTGGCAGATACACTTCCTTTTCAGCCATCTCATGGGTACCATCAGCTCTGTGCAGATTAAGAAACAGTGCTGATTAATTCAGACCAAATGTAGAAGCATGTCGTCAGTGACTTAGTTCAAAGGGTAACTCAGTAATTCTTTTTGACTTCTGAAACAGCTTTTTTGAAAAGATAATTTTAAAAGCATGTGAAATAAATACAACTTCTTTTAAAATACATTTATTTAACACAGCTTTATTGAGCATCTCTGTTGTGTTCAGATCACTGTATGAAATACTGCCCTCAGTTTATAAGGGTGAACACCCTATAATGTCTTTTACAATGTGTGTTTTCTTATCTGTTACCATCCAATAATTTTCTTTTTACTGGGGTTCCCTTTAAGGGAACCTGGTAAATTGCTGATAAAGAGGTTTTACCCTGCATATTCAGTGTAACACCAGGCATCCAAATTTCAGGAACCTTTAGGTCACACATTGGAAACATGACTTCTTGTCTGTGTAGTCATTGCCAGAGCTGTAAGTATGCACTGGCTTATACAAGGGAATTAGTAGTTGATAGAAATGTATAAACTATAAACATACCAGCTTATTCCAGAAGCCTCATATTTTCACTGACCCGCCTTCTAAAAAGATACATAGAATTTCATTTGTAGTCAACTGGACTACTACTCCTTTCTCTCAACTGGGCAGAATGCAAATTGCCTGTGTAGTTCCTGCCTGTGTGTTGTATTGTGTTTACAATACAAAAAAATTCTTTAGGACTAAAAGAAGCCCCAGGGCAGGAGACCTTTGGATCTGAGTGCACTGCTGATCCTCTGGGGAAGTGTCCTCTCTACAGGGTCAAAGCTGTGGAAAGGCTCATGGCTGATGTAATGCATCCCTGGCACTATATATGGCAATAGCTGAAATAAGTTAGAAACTCACTGAAACTGATTTCTATCTTTGGACAAGAAGAAATCACATATGGGACATTTGAGCTGACAGTAAGAGTAAATCTGAGCTCAAATCAAAATGATCTTTTGCTTACCTCCCTATAGCCATTATCAGCGTGCCTAGCAGTCCCTTTGGTGCGTGCTAGCCCAAGTGATTTGTTTATAGAATCCTTTAGTCTGTAAACATGCTCACTGAAACCAAATGAGTTCACCTGAAAGCTTTTGCTGTTGCTGACTGCTAGAGAGGGGCTGTTCATTTTAGCTTTTTTGTCTGGTACATATCCGCTGGCACTGTCATGGGTGCCCTGTGAAAGGCTAGGCATTGAATTAACCAATGATATCCAAATGAGCTGCTTCTCCAATTACCTTATTTGTACCTTGAAAACTGAGTTTAAGGAATAGGTTATTTACTGTTTCTGGGTTGATGTTCTAATCTGGACTCATAAAACTTTTTTTTTTTTTTTTTTTTTTTGGAGACAGAGTCTTGCTCTGTCACCTAGGCTAGAGTGCAGAGGTGCCATCACAGCTCACTGCAGCCTTGACCTCTGGGCTCAAGCAATTCTCCCACATCAGCCTCCTTAGTATCTGGGGCTGCAGGTGTGTACTACCATGCCTGGCTATTTCTTTTTAAATTTTTTTGTAGAGACAGAGTCTTGCTATATTGCCCAGGCTCGTCTCAGACTCCTGAGCTCAAGCGATCCTTCTGCCTTGGTCTTCCAAAGTGCTGGGATTACAAACTTAAGCCACAGTACCCAACCCATAAAACTTTAAAATATTTTTTACCTATTTGCTCTTTCTAAGATTCTTTCTTCTTGTCACCCGTGTGCCACAAATATAAGAATAAAATAAAACTAGCTAGGCGCATTGGCTCACGCCTGTAATCCTAGCACTTTAGAAGGTTGAGGAGGGTGGATCACAAGGCCAGGAGTTTGAGACCAGCCTGGCCAATATGGTGAAACCGCGTCTCTACTAAAAATAAAAAAAATTAGCTGGACATGATGGTGTGCGCCTGTAGTCCTAGCTGCTTGGGAGGCTGAGGTAGGAGAATCACTTGAACCAGGGAGGCGGAGGTTGCAGTGAGCTGAGATTGCGCCACTGCACTCCAGCCTGGGTGACAGAGCAAGACTCTGTCTCAAAATAAATAAATAAATAACAATAAATAAATTCCAAATAGACCCACATTCTTGTACCCTCCCCATTTTTGGTCAAAATTCACTTGATGTTGACCAAACTCTAACATCGTTCACTTGTACAGTTTGGAGGAAAGTTCTGGTATTCTTCTAGAACTGGGATATCTTTAAGAAAAAGAGCCACTCAAGAAAATCTAGCAAAATGAAGTTTCCTTATCGTATAGTCTAATTCTCAGTTGAGCTGCAGATTGGCAATGACTGTCATTGATGTGAGAATCTGACTGGAAGGTCACTCCATTTCCCGACCCTCTGTTCCACTGAGACCCAAGGAGGAGCAGTGTTGAGAAGCGAGGGAATGCTGTGTGTACCTCTGGGCTTGTAGCCAGAGCTTTGGGCTTAGGCTGTGAGTCCGAGGCTGATCATTTACCTCTAGGACTGATCCCCTTTGTGTGGTAGTGGGCTGGGTGAGATGGGGATGGGGCTGGATTTTGATAAACTAGGCACAGTCCAATCCGGTAGACCAATTAACTCCTTCATTGCCTAGTCCCCTTTTTGTGTGCATCAAAAATGAGAGACTGTGTGCTTTTAATCTCATGCTTGTCTTCTTTCTAATAATTAGTTTCATCAAATTATTTCCTTTGAGAAAAGAACACATGTATATTCAAAAATCCTTAGCATTCTTCTCTTAGGGTGCTTTAATTTGTTATGCTTATGGAATTGAGTGCTAAATCTCAGTGACTCAGGACATCTGTCTCCTGTGAACACAAATAAGGACTGTTCTTCCAATTCTTCTTTTCCTAAGGAAAAGAATGAAAGGCACTCAAAAGAGTTTCAGTGAACATAAACTTTTAAAACCAAAGGCATGAAGATAAATCTTGAGCGAAGGAGGTTGAAGAGGGAGTTGGGGGCTTTGGGGCTTCTCCCACTGGTGCTTAGTTCACTTGGTGCCCTTCTTGGGTCAGGGCATCTAATAAAGATGCAGTCAGCCAAGGATTGGTATCAAAATTAATGTAGAATGTGGCCTGCTATGGGCTGGGCTCAGCCTCCCTGTATGCAAAGGAGAGTCAGGCCTGCCTCTCCAGGTGAGTGGGATTCAGTCTTTGCCTTCACTCGGAGAGAATTGTGGATACTATGAGGAGACTAACCCAAGGATTTGCTGAAAAACATGTTAAGAATTGTTTTTGCTTCAGATCATGTAATGCTGTTGTTTCTAATGATCGTCCTTCTTTCCATTTCCCCTCCTCTTTCTTTTTTCCCTGTTTGATAACATATCTTGAAAATATTGCTAAAGGTTCCCTCTCCCCCACACCCTCCTCTTCCTAAAAAGGACCGCTTTGCATGGCAGTCCCCCACCATCCACAATACCTACAAGGATTCTCTCTACATGAGCTCACCAAAGCCTTACGTCCCACTTGGCACCCCCAGCCCACAGAACCCCTCACACCCCCAGCCCATCTCTGTCCTCCTGGCAGCTGGATCGGCTCCCAAAGGTGTGGTGTGCCCTGGTTCCTTGCTTTCGGACTCCACGTTTCCCAGTGCTTCATCCCAACCCCAGCAGCACTGTGCAGCCACCAGGAGAGTTTATCATAAGAATGTGAGCTCTAACCCATGTCATGAGGCAGTTGGGAATAAAAAGGTCAGCAGCTTATATGTACCTTGTTTATCCAATAACATTTGCCTGGCAGCGTCAGAAAACTCCTCTCGTGTTGCACGTGACCCTGCCAAAGACACTCCCTCGGAGGCTGCAGGCACCCGAGCACCGGCTCCCAGCCCTGTCTCCTGCACAGCCGGCACAGGAAAACCACCCCCTGCTCCTCCTCCTGACCCTCCCAAGCTATTCTTTGACATCGGTAAAGATGCCGTTAACCGTGGCGAGAGTCCTTCCCTGGGGACGTGGCCTTCGTTCCCAGATGTGAGACCACCTGTACTAGGCCCCCAGGTTATCTCTGATCCCGAAAAACAGAAGAGCAAAGAATCTTACCTTTTGCAGCCGAGTTATCCAGCCAAGGCAAGAAATGAGGAATGTTTGTGTGTCTTCTCCACTGTCTTTCAAAACTGATGAGAGCAGCTCATTGTTCACTGGGCTGCCCTACCCTCCCTTTCCTCATTAATATTGTTGTGGCTTGAATCCCGAATTTTTCTGTCTGCACATCTCAGCACAGTACTCTCTTTGTCTGTCTCTCTTTTCTGTGAATGTGTAAGTATGCTGGAGCGTGGAATCCGGAGACTAATAACATGGTGAGATATGCATTGTTCATGTCTTTTTACAAGGTGCCAAAGAAATTGTATTTACTCTCAAGCTTTTAGGCTCTATGGCAGTGTTGTGGGGTTAAACACCGCCTGCCTGCCTGTTCTGTTGTTCTCCCTTCCTCCCTCATAAAGTGTTAAAAGGATTCAAAAATAGATGGATGAAAAGTGGAGTTGGATGGGGTTCCCTCTGTGTCATGGAGTGTCAGAAGGCCAGCTGGCCAGCTCCGACTGTGTCATGTACCCTGAGGAAAGGGCACCGATTAAATGTTTCTCAGAGTACCTCACTGCATGCCCACTCTCAACTGTTTAAATCTGGAATTCCTTCCTCATGTCCTTCCCCTTTCCATAACGACCCCCTTATTTTCACAGGATGCCACTTCCTCCAGTGCAGCCCAGCCGGAGGTAATAGTTGTCCCTCTCTACCTGGTTAACACTGACAGAGGGCAAGAAGGCACGGCCAGATCGCCAGCACCTCTGGGGCCTCTTGGCCGCGTCCCCACAATCCCAGCGACCGCCTCTGCAGCCTCACCTCTGACCTTCCCGACTCTAGATGATTTCATTCCCCCTCATCTACAGAGGTGGCCCCACCACAGCCAGCCAGCCCGCACCTCTGGCTCCTTTGCCCCCCTTAGCCAGACGCCACCATCCTTCTCACCACCACCTCCGCTGGTCCCTCCCACCCCGGAGGACCTCCGCAGAGTCTCGGAGCCTGACCTCACGGGAGCTGTTTCGAGTACCGTAAGCTTGCTGGACTCCCTTCCCCACAGCTTTCCTGAATGTCTCCTCCCAGCAGTCACATCCCCCTCTCACTGAAGCGCTGAGTTCTGAGGAAAGCACTGACTGCCGCTGTGCCTGCGTGATGACTGGAGCCGTGTCCCCTGTCACTCACGTGCATGCTTCCTGTATGTCTTCCCTGGGTCTCGGGGCCGTTCCCCATCTCTGCAGTGCCCCCTCTGCTCTGTCCTGTTGGGAATACACGTCTTTCTCCCTCAGAAGACATTACCTGTGGCCTCGATGTTGACTGGCCATGCTTTTCACAGGCCAGGCGGGTGGTCACGTGGAGAGCCGAGGCAAGCTGAAGAATTACGGGAAAAGCAACGGCAGGTGTGGTGGGTGCTAGTTGCCAGGAAGTGGGGAGATCTGGAGAGGAAAAGACTTACTCTCTCGCTGACCTAGTGAGTAAATAAACTCTGTAGTATACAGAAAGGACAGAAACTAGGATTTTTTTTTTTTTTAAATGAGAGAGTTGAGTTTAAGTGAGCAAGTGGGTCTGAAAGCCCTGTACAAATGTTAGGACTTTTACCTCAAAAGGCAGGCAGTTGTTAGAGCCCCTGAGGAGGAGGTCCCAGGAGACTTTGTGGCAAAACGGGTTACCAGTGGCCACGGGAAAGCCCAAGTGCTTTAGAGAAAAAGCTGTCAAAGTGCTTGGGTCTCCTTTTCCTTTAGGAGCTCTGGGAATTGAGAGAATCTGATAACTTCAGTGCAAGTTGTAACATGGGGATACGTGAATCTCCTCATAGGGCTGTGGGGTTCGGTGGGATCGAGTAGTAAAAGTTCCTGTTACAGGGGTTGACATAGAGAAGGTGGATAGTGAATGTTAGCCATGTTGCTGAGGACTTGCCCTGACAAATGAGGGCCAGTCACTCAAAAGCAAGTAACTGGTTAGTTAGCAATTCATCATTGAGTTTCTGCCATGGTCTAGGCATTCTGCTCAGTACCATGGGTACAACCATGAGCTAGGGCCTTGTTCTCAAAGGGTTTTTTGGGGTAGGAGGTCACTCCTCAAGCTTTGTGTACTTGGGCTCATCTGAGGGTCAGGGAGGCTTGTTGAAATGGTCTCCCCCAGGTTATACTCCTAGAATTTCTGACTGAGGGGTCTGGAGAAAAACCTGGGAATCTCACTTGGTAAGAAGTGCTCAGGGGTTTCAGATGCTGGGGTCCACACACTACATTTTGAGATACAGTCATCCAGTGGGTCATGCAATTGGCTGATGGAACTAAGCGTTTACTGACATACCTTTGTGTAAAGAAGTATGCCTGCAAAACTGTTCCAAATGGCTTGTTAAGTCAAAGCCAGTCATGCAGAAAGCAGGAAGGAAACTTTATTTGGCTTATTAGATAAATTATGATGAGGCATCAAGCACATCAAAGCTGGGAACTGTTATGTCCTGAGCTGGGCCCTCTTCCGAAATCTCTAGAGCTGTGCAATGTAGTTAGGTCAGGACCAGGCCCAGCGTGGCCTGTGGGCTTGGATATCTTCTAGCTTTGAGTTTTGCAGCGTAGCTCCATTGGAGAAAAATTCTAGATTATTCCCTGATCTATTCCTCTCTACCTTCAGCTGAACTTAGAATTTAGAAGCCATTCTTGTTTTGGGGAGTTGAGGCATCTTCCTTTTGACACGGATTATGTTTGCCTGGAGCAGTGGGTAAAGTGAGTCTTACGTTTAGTGTCCTCCAGACCATTTTGAGCAGTTTTATTGTGCATCCTATAATTTATCATTTGTGTAGACCTAGGTTTTCATATCAAGTTTGTTTTAGGTGTACCAGGGCAGATTAGTTGGGACAGTGTCCTCGATTTCTCAAACCTGACTAATCAGCCTGGTGTAGACCTCCCAGAAGGACCTCTGATAGTTTCTGGCTTGGCCCTGGGTAGCAGAGGTGAAAAAGGAAACTGCTTGGATTCCTCCTCCTCCTCTGTGAATGGTATCTGAGTTGTGAGCTGATGCCTGCTCCATCTGTAGCTATTTGAGAGAAAGGAGGAAGAATAAAAGTTGTGTTAATTGGCTTGAGCTCTTTTAGTCAATAGCTGTTTTTGTGATTTTCCAGAAATAAGACACAAGGTAAAATTTGTAAAATGCTTAATGTTCATACGATCCACCCAAACATCACATTAGACATTTATACTTTAAAGAGCTGTATGCCTGATATTTTGCGTTTCTTGGATGAATTCAGAGAGTTTTTAATGATATGTCATTTATCATCGTTATATCACTTTGGAGATAAATTAGGAAAAATGTAATTATTTTCCACTTTCTAAATAGAGGAATCGAGGTGAGGCACTTTTGTATAAAATCATACTGTGCTTCTCAAGTCTTGAGAAAAGGTTTTATTCATGAAATTGAGTTGCCCCTCATAACTAAACAGTGGCAGCTGTTTAGCGGACTTTCAGAAGAGATACACTGCGCTAGGCAGTGCTGTGACACTCCTACTATGTGTCGGGAGCTGTCCTGGGTGCTGATGCCCACGTCCTCTTTTGATAAGCACTTGTTTTCTTGCTACAAACATTTGCTCAGACACACCAATGCTGGAAGATGCCACCTGTCATTCACGTGGCATTTACTGAGCACCTGCTATCTGCAGGGTATTGGGCTAGGTATGAGTGAGGGGGTGGCCCTCATCCTGTGGGTGTTTTCACAGGAGTTGATCTCTGATTATTGCTTCAAGATAATTATTGCTTCAAGAGCAACTATCAAAATCTTGTTCTTAAAGCTTTTTAGGAAGAGCATCCTCAATCTAGTGTTTATAAACTCAAAAATGGAAATGTATAGATATGGAGAAAACTGTCTAAATATCCTTACTACCTTTTGGGGTGTTACTTTGTTTTAAAAGACTGGCATTATCCCCAATATGCAGATTATAATGTTAGTATTAATGATTTTATTGGCATTTCTGGCAGATGCTTCAGTTTTTAAGGTCAGGATTCTCACAAGTCTTTAGGGATCTTGTCACTTTAATATTAGAATGAAAAAATGTCACAGTAGGATAGGATAATATCCAAATCTCAGAAGCAAGCACCAGGAAAATTGCTCAGTGAAGCTGATGCTAAGAGTAGCTTTCTGAAAAAACTGCTTCTCAACTCCTTCCTGTTCTTACATTAATGTCTTCTTGTCCTCACGTTGTCTTGCATTTCTCTGTACAGTGTACTAAACTTCCCTGATTTTTTCCCAATTAAACCAGCTCTTGTTCTTGGATCGCATTTGGAATTGCATGAGTTTTGCATGTTATTCTACTTTGATTTGAATTTGGTTTTTCAGTAACTGGATTGACCCACAACTGTTAGCAGGTGGACATAATGAATGATGTTGCTGAGACTTGCAGTAACATTCACCTTCCCTCTCTCCTCTGCCCTGTACTAATACCAGCAAAGAGAATAACCATTCCAGCTTAAACTTCTAACTGGAATTAATGATATGACGTGTCTCATGGATTGCATTTCTTTTTATAATTAAGATGATCGTAAAGCTTTACATTTCTTCTTTTTAAAAAACATTAAAGCTAGCTTTTTATATTTACAGTTAGTTACATTGTTTGTTTGTTTCAGGATTCCAGTCCTCTACTAAATGAAGTTTCTTCTTCCCTTGTTGGAACTGATTCCCAAGCCTTTCCACCAGTTAGCAAGCCTTCTTCCGCCTATCCCTCCACAACGATTGTCAACCCTACTATTGTGCTCTTGCAACACAATCGAGGTAAGAGAGGCTCGTGCCCCACTCCCAGCCCACTGGAACCAGCGTAGCTATTCCATGATACCTGGGTAAAAAATTCTGTTATTTCACATAAATATTCACAAATCCCATTGTTTCCCAAGGCCATTCGCCCCAGTTCACTCACTCTTGTGGGCCATAAAATAAACCCCGGCAGACAGAGGCCCCTGATTTGAGGTGATGTCAACTGTCTGAATAAGTAAGCTGGGTTAGTTCCACTCCTTGGGTGTTCATGGTTGTCTTCTGCAAATCGTATCATCAGGAAAAAAAAAAAAGAAGAAGAAAGGAAAAAGTTTGTGTCTCTTGATTGTAATTAGAGGTTTAGCTTCAAAAATCTAGGTACAATAATACCTCTTTTAAATAGTATCTGAAATGATTTCGTTTTTTGACATTATGAAATTTCTAGAGAGCAGAATTTGGAGTACCAAATTTTAAAAAAGAAAACATATCGTGTAGACCATTTTTTAGAATATAAAACATATTTTTGTAACCTTGAAAACAGAGACTATTGAATTTTTCTTGACGACTCATTGGTCTTCATTCTTGCCAGCCGTTTATACTATGTGGTTCTAGGCAGCTCTGCTTAGAGTTTTTGTGTTTGTTTTCTATAATGTCTCTGACTGCTTCTGGTTGGTTTTCCTGCTTCTCTGAAAAGCGGAGGCTGGGCATGGTAGTTCACACCTGTAATCCCAGCACTTTGGGAGGCCAAGGTGGGCATATCACCTGAGGTTGGGAGTTTGAGACCAGCCTGACCAACATGGAGAAACCCTGTCTCTGCTAAAAATTAGCTGGGCATGGTGGTTCATGCCTGTAATCTCAGCTACTCGGGAGGCTGAGGCAGGAAAATTGCTTGATGGGAGATGGAGGTTGTGGTGAACGGAGATCACGCCATTGCACTCCAGCTTGGGCAACAAGAGCGAAACTCTGTCTCAAAAAAAAACCAAAAAACAAAAACAACAAGAAAAAAGCCTTGAGGTGGGGTGAAGCAGAAGTGCTTTGGGGTAGTCATTGCATATGTTGACCTTCTGCTTTAAAATTCCAGATGGTGATTCAAAATCCCAAGTTTTCCTTTTCGGAATTCCATAGAGAAATACACTTTCTCTTCACAAAAGTCCTTCGTAGCGTGAAATGTAAGGTTTTCAAGCTGTTTCCACTTGTAGAAAGGGCTCATTCGTCTGAATTTTCAGTAACAGTGGAGGTTTAATTATTTTGTTCAGAGCTCACATCATCCTTTTCTTGACGAGTCTGTGCTCTCCTGCTTCATAGTTTTCCTCCCCTCCCCTTCCCTCCCCCTTCTCTCTGCATTAATTTAAATGAGAATGGGACTGGAGTCTATTTTTAATTGTTTTCCATACTAAATAGAGTTTTTCTGTTTTCTCCTTCTAACTTGAAAAGCAGATGAATAAAACATTTTCTTTCACTTCAGAGTTTTCCACTAAAATCTTAAGGTTGTTTTAGTAGTTTCATTATTTTTTTCACTATGTGTAGCTCCTGTATTAATTTTCACCCATGAACCTGTGTTCTTCAAAAGAAAAGAAGGGCCCCAGCTCCCACAATGAACCATGCAGGAGCCCATTCTCCTTCTGCGGTGCCATGCGCCTTACTGGCAGTGACTTTCCTTGCCCAGAAAGTGTCTGTAATACAGGACAAAGTAAAATTTTGTTTCTCTGAATTTCCTTATGACTCATATATATTTTTTTAAATTCAGTCAAACAGAAGCAAGTTAGTTCCCAGAAGGACAGATAGCTTCTTTAAAAATGAGATTTATTCCCAAGGCAACTTGGTTTTTGGGAAATGCCAAGTGTAATGTCAGCTGCTTCTGCCAAGTCCCTCTGATGACACCTTGTGAGACATCTTTGGGCACGGAAATGCCTGTAGTTCCTTTTTGTTTTTTCTTGAATAGATTGATTCCTCTTATTTACCCAAATGCCTTTCTCTTTTGTCCAAGTCCTGCCCTTGGATTTAAAAATCAGAATTGTGCAGCCTGAGACACACATCCTTCAGAAAAGGATACAAGTAATGGTGTTAATTTTTTGGAATTAAATCGTAGCTTTCCATAAAGAGCAAAACCATATGTTCACTAAGCAGGTAGCACAGGAAGAGTTGAGAAGAATAGAAGAGCTTCGCTGGCCCAGCCCTGTGTTACTAATCATAAATGGGGTTTAGGTCAAGTGTTTTTGGCATTGCTTTGGAATTTGCCTAACCAGGCAGCTCTGCTTTGCTTCATAAAGAGTACCCTTAAAAATAATTTCTTAACTATTGCAAAGTCTCCTGAGGGAATAACTTTACTGCACTTCTGGAATTCTAGTTTAGTCATACTAAAAAAGTGCCTCCCCCCTGCCCTTTTTTTTTTTTTTTTTAAGACTGTCCCAGGGCATAGTGTGGCAATAATCCTGTCTCTCCAAGCCAGCTTCCCCCTACTAGAAAGGCACTGAGGGGTACTCAGCCTCTGGGCTGGCACTGATGGTTGTGAACAACACAGCCCTTTCGCCTTCTTTCCTGAGTTTTCACACCACATGGGTTTGAAGGTGAGTCACTTACCATCAGTCTGGGAGGGAGGCCTTGAATCGGAAAACTCTCAGGATTAAAAGAGGTGTGTGGGTCCCCTTGCTCAGGGCTTCTCAGTCTATGTGCATAGGATCCTGAGAGTCTGGTTAACCTGCAGGTTCAGCCTCACAAGGTTTGGGGTGGAGGAGATGAGATTCTACATTTTCTTTCTTTTTTTTTTTTTCTTTTTTTTGAGACCGAGTCTTGCTCTGTCGCTAGGCTGGAGTGCAGCGGTGCCATCTCAGCTCACTGCAACTTCCACCTCCCGGGTTCAAGCAATTCTTCTGCCTCAGTCTCTTGAGTAGCTGGGACTACAGGCATCTGCTAACATGCCTGGCTAATTTTTATATTTTTAGTAGAGATGGGGTTTCACCATGTTGGCCAGGATTGCCTCGATCTCTTGACCTCGTGATCTGCCTGCCTCGGCCTCCCAAAGAGTTGGGATTACAGGCGTGAGCCACCACACCTGGCCCGAGATTCTACATTTTCAGTGAGCTTAAACCACATTGAGAGCTAGTGGTCAGAGGTTCCCAGACTTACCTTACAGACACATAAAACAGTCTGGTTTCATTCTAATGCTTTAAAATAACAGCACTAAAAGTGGCTACTGTTATCTGCGTTGCATGTCATCCTAGGAAAGAAAGGCCATTTCACACCTCAGAACTGGAGACAACGGAGTCTCTTTTTTTTTTTTTTTTTTTTTTTGGAGGCAGGTCTTACTCTGTTGTCAAGGCTAGAGTGCAATGGTGCAATCATGGCTCACTGCATCCTCGACTTCCCAGGCTCAGGTGATTCTCTTACTCAGCCTCTAGAGTATCTGGGACCACAGATATATCCTACCACACCTGGCTAATTTTTAAATATTTTTTGAAGAGACGAGGTTTCACCATGTTGCCCAGGCTGGTCCTGAACCTCTGGGCTCAAGGGATCTGCCTGCCTTGGCCTCCCAAAGTGCTGGGATTACAGGCATGAGCCACCGTGCCTGGCCAGTGTAGTCTTATTTATTTATTTTGAGATAGGGTCTTTCTCCATTGCCTAGGCTGGAGATCAGTGGCACGATCTTGGCTTACTGCAATCACTGCCTCCCAGATTCAAGTAATTCTTGTGCCTCAGCCTCTGGAGTATCTGGGATTACAGGCATGTGCCGCCATGCCTGGCTGATTTTTGTTATTTTTAGTAGAAATGGGGTTTTGCCATGTTGACAACGTGGTCTTTTAAATGGAATACATTCACTTCTGCTGGCTGAAGCTCAGCAGCCTTCAGAATAGTGTGTCGGAACCATAGGTCTCCTTAGTACACAGGACACTTTGACATAACGGACAAGGAAACGGAGGCTGAGAGGTTTAGTGATTGGCCATTGTCATCTGGAAGTTACTGGCAGAGCTGAGGCCTAGCTGCACTGGGCTTCTGCATGTTCAGCCAGCATGAACCTCATCCACGTGGCAGAAGTGGCCAGGCACCGCCTCCCAGGCCGTGAGCTCCTGGGCTGCTCTCTGTTTACTTCGGGTTCATACTGATTGTAGCAGGAAACTGAGGATGCAGCCAAGGGGAATGATGACAGTACCCACGGGTTGGCAAATTTTCTATTTTTATCTATGTGGCTGCTTTATATTTAGCAGCTGTGGGAGGTAAAGGTCATTTTTGTGCTCTCATCTCATAGCACGCACACATAGGACTCTGCAAAGGATGTAGTGGCTTCCCTTCCATGCGAGTGCCCAGGATGGTGAGAAACCAATAGCCCTTCAATGCACAGGACCAGCAAGTTCTTGATTACTAGAATTGGAATGAACTCTGGACTAGGAGTCAGGAATCCAGGTTCTAGATCAGGCTGATTTTCAGTTATCTTGGGTGATTTGTGCCCCTTATCTGAAGTCTCTCAGCCATTGCTGATTTTTTAAAGATTTCTCTTGTACTCTGGACAAGCCAGATTACTACAGTGGCTAAGGCTAGGCCTTAGTTTTCTCCTCTGTACAATGGGAAAGAATAATTGTAGCCAACTAACTGCTAGAGTTGTTGCAAAGTTTACAAGTGTTATTTGTAAAAGCGCTAAAACAACTTCTGGCATTTAGCGAGCTCTCAAGAGATGGTCACTGACATGGTTATGATTATAATTACATTTCCCTCAAAAGGTACCAAGACTGGGATCATATAAGGTCTTACTCACTTGAAGCTGGAGGGCTGGGTGGATTCCCTTCTGTGATCGAATCATCTTGAGATAAGATATAAACAGCTAGAAAATTGTGGCAGTCCCCTGAATCCTGGTGCAGATTTGGGAGTGGGGCGGGCTGGGAGACACCACTCTGGCATAGTGGGAGCCGCGCTAATGATGCAGTGGCTGATGCACTTTAATGATGCAGCTAGCCTGCAGTCAGATGACTTCATGCACATTGTAGCATCTAAGTCCAGAGGACAGTGAGAGGATGCAGTGTTGAGATCCTAACTAGTTATGACAGGGCTTCTTGGTCTTGCTATGTACTGTATAAATCTCACTTAAACCATGTTTTTTTTTTTTTAAATCACAGAACAGCAAAAACGACTCAGTAGCCTTTCAGGTAGGTGAGAAATATTTATTTACATGTTAACCCCTGTTCCTGTTGAAACCGTCTTCCGGTCACTACCTGATGTTCAATCAGCAAAATCTTCTGAGATCCTCTGATGTGTTTTGGGAGAGTCTTTGTTGTTGGACTACCAAGATGATGAAAATAAGCATAATCTTGCCTCCCTGGAGCTTGTAGGCTGGTGGACAGACCAGACCAGTGAACCATACTAGTAAACATGTCCCACGGAACTGTAATAAGAGCCTTATGGGTAAGAGCAGCATGTTCTAGGTAAAAAGAACCAGGAGTCCTACTTTAGATGAGTGTTCATGGCAGGCCTCTCTGAAGAGGTCATCTTTCTGCTGCTTCTGTCTCCCGTCTGGGATGTGAGGAGTCAGGGGTTGAGAGATGTGGGTAAGTTCTCTCCTTGTTGGGTGGCAAGCCCAAATGCCAGTAGATGACCCTGGGGTGGTGGGTCCAGGTGAGAACCTTCAGACCAGCAGTGCCCAGAAGTCAGTGTAATAAATCTGCTTCTTGAACTTGAGTTGGCATCAGAAATTCCTGGAGAGTTTGTCAAAACTCAGGTTCCTGGGCCATGCCCCTAGAGATTTGGATTTAATGGTTATGGGTAAGAATTTGCATGTCTTTTTTTTTTTTTGAAACAGAGTCTTGCTCTGTCACCCAGGCTGCAGTACGGTGGCATAATCATAGCTTACTACACCCTTGAGCTCCTGGGCTCATGTGATCCTCCAACTCAGCCTCCCCAGCAGCTGGGACTACAGGTGTGCGCCACCATGCCCAGCTAGTTTTTTTAGTTTTTTTTTTTTGTTTGTTTTTGTTTTTTGTAGAGATGGAGTCTCACTATGTTGCCAAGGCTGGTCTCAAATCGTGACCTCAAGCAGTCCTCCCCTGTCGGCCTCTTAAAGTTCCAGGATTATAGGCACCAGCTACTGTGCCTGGCCAAGAGAATGTGCATTTCTGCCCAGCTCCCTGGTGATGTTGATGCTGCCCTGTGCTGACCACACTTGAGTGTGGCGGGTGGCAAGAGCCAACAATGGTGGGAGTGACCGCAAATGTAATGAGACATATACAAATAGAATTAGCTCACCCACTGATAAAGTGTGTAGGATTGGGACCATGTCAGAGTGGGGAGAGAACCCAGGAAGGGAAATGTGTAGCTATTTCCTTGTGGCTTCCTGTAGCCATTCTGCTTTGAATCCTGGGTCTAGTGCTGCCTCAGGCAGGTTATATAATGTCTCTGGGCTTCAGTTTTCTTACTGTCAAATGAGGAAAGCAGTGGTGACTCCCAGGTTGTATGACAACCAAATGAGATTCTGCTCATTAACAGCTCAGCACTGAACTGCTGCTTAATAGATGTGTGGCTTAATAGATATGCATTCCATTTACCAGGCAGTGTTCTGTGGGTTCACTTATCGTTGTATTCAGGGCCTCCTTTGTATCCTGCACTGAGCTGGGATCTGAGGTTACATCAGAGAACTGTGCTGCCCTTGAGCAGTGAATAGTGTGGGGCTAACTGTGTGGTGCAAAAGTGTGTAACTTTTCTTTGGTCATGGACTCCTTAGAGAAACTACTGAAGGCAATAGATTGATTCTTAAAACAAAACAAAAAAAGCCATACACATGTAAACATGTGCACATGATTTCTGTGGAATTGCACACACTCATGAACTTCAGGGTTAAGAATCCCTGATTGGTGGAAAACAGAAGCCACTGTTTTCTGAATAGCTGCTACATGATTTCTGTGCAACTTCTTGCCACTGCTGTTCTGTGATTGGTGGTGAGCCTGGGTGGGGAGGACATAGGGTTCTCACACCCTCTCAGCCTTATCAGGACTTGGCTGTGAGGCCAAGACAGGCTGTGGTTGAGCTCAAGGTGCTCTTCGCTGCCCCTCCTCCAGCTGCCACTCTCCAGCCCACTTCATTCCCTGGCCCCAGCCCAGGTTGCTAAGAGTGGTGGCTCTGAAAAAAAAAAGATGGCTTCTGTGGGCTTCTTCCTGTTGGTGGGAATTTGAAAGAGGGGTAGACGAGATGAAAAAGGCCTCCAGCCACACATTAGGAAATATAGAACTTGGTCCTAGCTCCTTCTTCTTGGAGCTGTTTGTTTCTGTGGGAGTGACTTCTCTCTAAGCCAGTTTCTTCATATGGGAGACAAGGGTGGTAATCCTTGCCCCAGCCTGGAGGAGGTGTTATTGTGACAGGAAGGGGGAGGATGTTTTGTGCATTGAGAAGTAAAAATGTGAGTGTGGGGTGGCTCATGCCTGTAATCCCAGCACTTTGGGAGGCTGAGGTAGGTGGATCACAAAGTCAGGAGATGGAGACCATCCTGGCCAACATGGTGAAACCCCTTCTCTACTAAAAATACACATATTAGTTGGGCATGGTGGTGCACACCTGTAAAAAAAAAAGAAAAAAGAAAAAGTGAGGATGGCTCCACTGTGCTGGCAGCTCAGGCTTATTCCTTGGCTCTGAAATAAGCCTGATGTTATTGCGTTCCCTGAGTTTTGGGACAGATCCACTGATGATGTTTGATAGAGTGGGGCCTAAAGTAGGTGCTCACTAAATATTAGTTTATGCTTTGAAAGAAGTAGTACCGCTTTGTTCAGGAGCTCCCGAAAGAGAGAGGGCTGGCTGGGTTGGCACTCTCCAGTCTCTCAGAGCAAGTAAGCTTATCCATCACCTGTGGGGACGGGACTCCAGGGCTGCCAGACTCCCTCTCTGTAGCGGATTTTTGTTGAGCCTCCATGCGGTTTGATGTTCAGGGAGAGTCATCTGGGAATGAAGCCTACATGATGTTCTCAGGTACCTCTCAGTCCCCTTGGGGAGACAGATGGGATAATAGGATAAGGGCTGGGAGAGCATGGCTGGCATAGGTATAGAGAGGCCATCGTTCTTCTGCAGAGAAGTGTGAGCATTGCTGTAATCCTCAGTCACCAGCCCTCCATGTGAAGAGAAGAGAGGCTATCCCACCTCCTGCAAACAGAGGCCCCATCTGAGGTTGTCAGTATTGTCATTTATTTAGTGGCTCAGAACCTTTCTTTTTAAAGCACAGTATAAAACTAGGAGGCTAGATTTACAGTGGCTCACACCTATAATCCCAACATTTTGGGAGGCCAAGGCAGGCATTGCTTGAGCTCAGGAGTTTAAGACCAGCCTGGCAACATGGTGAAACCTTGTCTTTATTAAAAAAATACAAAAATTAACTGAGGCCAGGTGCAGTGACTCACACCTGTAATCCCATCATTTGGGAGGCAGAGGTGGGCAGATTCATTGAGCTCAGGAGTTTGAGACCAGCCTGGGCAATATGGCAACACCCCATCTCCACAAAAAATACAAAAAAAAAAAAAAAAACTAGCCAGGTGTGGTGACACATACCTGTAGACCCAGCTTCTTGGGAGGCAAAAGTGGGAGGATCACCTGAGCTCAGGGAGGTTGAGGCTTCAGTGAGCCATGATCATGCCACTGTACTCCAGCCTGGGTGAGAGAACGAGACCCTGTGTAATTAGGAAAAAAAAAAAAAAGACTAGAAGGAAATGCTCCCAGGGTGTTATGTGAAGGATCAGTTTTTTCCTACCGAGAAAACAGCAAGCCTTCATTGTAATACAGGTGTCAACGCCTGGCCCTGTCACCTGCGTGGTACAGTTAAGTTAATTGTCACTTTAGGTTTTTGTTGTATAAAGGGACGCTTTTGCTTCAAGAGATCTCTGTATATTGAAATCCACTCAGTGATGAGTCATATGACCACAAGCTTCTCAAGCAAAACAATTCAGGGCTAGTTTTTGTAGATCAAAAGAACTCTGACAGCTTTAGGACAAATCCATGGACTGTCAGCCTGATTTCGCAGTGAAGTGACTGTTGTTAGAGCCACCTGCCCTAACCCTGAGAATGGCGTCTGTGATCCTCACCATGATCTTAAAGCCCCAGGTGAGACTGAGCTTGAAGTCAGCCTCATCTCTTCCCTTCTGCTCACACTCAACAGAAGGCCTTTCCAGGTGGGAGGAGAGTGCTCAGCAGAGCCACATTAAGGGTAGAATCGGATAACTCGAAATCCTTCTATTCTTCCAGGCTTCCTGCCAAATCCTTGGCCTCCCATTGGAATTTTCTGGGAGCATGAGAACCCATTCCATGAAGCCAATCTGGTCTTAACATCCTTTGACATTGATGGTGATGCTGCCAGGGATCAGGCTTTCGGAAGCACTTACTAAGCTTAGAAATCCTTTGGGTGTGGGCAGTCACCCCACGGAGGAGACTGAAAGTCATAGAACCTGAGCATGCTGACGTCAGTGTTTCTCCCACTTCTCCAGCATCTCCTCCACTCACAGGCATCTCTGACTTTGTTACAACTTTGCCTGTGTCCTCACATTCTTCCTTTGCTCCCAAGTTTGTCCCCCAGCCAACAGTCTGTACCTTATCCTTTCTCAAAGACGAGAACCTGTCCTCAGTCAATCAATGAGCAGGTTTTAACTGAGCACTTACTAATTGCCACAGCACATTTTGATGCCCTTCATCCTTACCTCATGGGCCTCACTCTCACTGATAGGATTTTAGGCTCCCTTGGCTTAAACTTTTTTTTTTTTTTGAGACTGAATCTCGGTTTATTGCCAAGGGTGGAGTATAGTGGCATGATCATGGCTTACTGTAGCTTCAGCCTCCCAGGCTCAGGAGATCCTTCCAACTCAGCCTCTTAAGAGCTGGAACAACAGGCATGTGCCTGGCTAATTTTTTAATTTTTTGTAGTCATGGGATCTCGCCATGTTGCCCAGGCTGGTCTTGAACTTCTAGGTTCAAGCGATCCTCCTGCCTCAGCTTCCTGATGTGTTGAGAAGCATGAGCCACCGCACCTGGCCATCTTAAACCTTTTTGCCCCTAATCTTTTGACCCTCTTTAATTACCATCTAACACATTCCTTCCTCTGTGCTGAATTCCCCAGTCACTCCCCCAGCTTCCTGCTCACACCTTCAACCCTTTCCCTGCAATCTGGCACCCACCCCCGTTGCCCTCCTGAAGTTGCTCCCTTGGAGTGTTCCCGTGACTTCTCTCTTGCCTAATCTAATGCCGCCTCCTCTGCTTCAATTTCTGTGGGTTTTTTTTTTTTTTCTTTTTTGACACTTAACCACCCACTTCTTGGAGTTCTGTCTTCCCTGGTTCGGTGGCACCTTGTGTACTTTCCTGGTTCATCTCCTGTCCCTCGGACGATTTTGCATCCCTTTGGGGATTCTTTTGCCTTGCAGCTGTAACTGTGGTGTTCCTCCATGCATAACTTTAGCGCTTCTGTCCACCACTGAGCTCTGCCATCTCCCTGGCATCAGCCATCACTTCATAAATATTTGAAGAGTATAGTGCAATGCCTGGCCCCTCCATATTTCCTCTAGGGGTCTCTGGGGCATTCTCATTGAGTATCTTGCTGTCTTCACAAGGTTACCATGATTCAAATGGAAGCAGCCATTTTCCCCTCCCTTTCCCAGCCCAGTTCTAACTTCTGCATTTGGATTAGGCCAGGCTCCCAAACTTGAAACCTTGGTACTGTCTTTGGAGGAGGCAAGAGAGGATGTAGTTCAGAGAGGACTGCTAGAGTCAGGTGGACATTAGGCCACATCACAGCTTGGCCACGAGCTGGTTGTGTGGCCCCATGCAGGATACTTTAACTTTTCTGTGTATTGATCCTTTAACTATTGAAAAAAAAAAAAGAGGTGATAATAGTTTCTTCCTCACAGATCATTGGGAGGATAAAATGAGATAATGTATATGAAGAGTTTAGTGCAATGCCTGGCACATAATTAGCTCAGTAGTTCACAGACCCCCAAGTATTTAAGCTGTTCCCTCTGTTTGGGGCATACTTCCTGTGAGTTTGGGTGGCTTCTCCTCTGAGAATCGGCCCCCATCACCCTGCATTCTCATTGCTGGCTCACTTGCTTTTTCTGCCCGCTGGACTGTAAGCTCCCTGAAGGCTAGGATTCTGTAATACTCACCTTCATGTCCACAAGGCAGAGCACAATGTCTGCCCAGTAAATAAATGTCATAGCTTGGAAACCAGATTCTATTAAGTAATTTTATAATCTGCAGATCATATCTGGTATCTTTATTAGTGCTCTGTAACTTCCAATCTTGAACAAAAATAATCTGTAATGTATACTTAGCAATGAACAGCTTCCTGAACACTTTGGCATAAGTTATCCTGTTAAGTCCTCTCACCACATTGCTGTGAGCTTGCCAATAGAAGTGTTATCTCTGTTTTTGGATGAGGAAACTGAGGCACAGAAAAGTTAAGTGACTTCCTCAAGAGGAATCAAAAGCTTTCAAGTAATGTTTAGCCTCCTCCTGTGGTTCTACCTGTTCCTTAATTTCTAGAATAGTCAGAACTACTCAGTTGACCAGAGCACAATGTGCATACCTCTGCAAAGCTCTGATCACACTGTTAGCAAGCCTTTTTTTTTTTAAGGACAAGATGATAAATATTTTAGACTTTGCAAGCCATATGGTTTCTGTCACAGCTACTCAGCTCGGCCATAGTAATGCAAAGGAATCCATAAATAATATGTAAAGGAATTGGCATGGTTGTGTTACAGTAAAACTTTACTTATAAAAACAGGTGGCCAGCCCATGGGCCATAGTTTGCTGACCCCTACTCTAAACAGAACTAATTCCAGTTGAGAATTAGCAAACACGCTCCCCGCCAGCTAGCCTGTTCAGGAGTGTTTTGCTTTGCAGCTACCAAAAGAGCTTCAGCTAACAATTGCTTTTCATTTCCAGATCCTGTCTCAGAAAGAAGAGTGGGAGAGCAGGACTCAGCCCCAACCCAGGAAAAACCCACCTCACCTGCCAGAGCTGCTGAAAAAAGAGCAAAGGATGATAGTAGGCGGGTGGTGAAGAGCGCTCAGGACCTAAGCGATGTTTCCATGGATGAAGTGGGCATCCCACTCCGGGTATGCATATTGACCTAGAAGTCCTTCTTAGGCTTCATCTTGAGCGTGACAAGTGTACACCCTAAGAACATGCAAACCCCATCACACCATCATCTCTGTAAACCCCATGAGTGCCAGAGCCCCCAGGAGCTGTTCTCCAGGCTTGGTGTACCATAGCTTTTCCCAAAGTGGGTGTTGGGTGGTATAAGTCCTGTGAATAAAGGATTTCATGGTCAAGTAAACATGAGGAAAAGCTGGGTAGGATCAAGTCAGATTTCCCTGCTGCAGAACTTTTCAGAGGCTTTGAGTCTGTGAGTGTTCCAGGGACAATGTTCTGGGCAGTCTTACTTCATTATTGTTCTGTGTTGAGAAATTCCTGGCCTTAGGGTTAGAGAATTTTGGGGAGAGTATGAGGCCCAAGGTCCCTGTTTATAGGTTCAGGAAGAAGATCCCCCTGGATGGGAGATCACTTGTCATCCATAGTGAGTAGGGAACTCTAAGGGAACCTTGGAATGTATTTGGCCAGACACGCTTACCGGACAGAGCAGGTCTTGTGGCATCCTTGACCCCGCTCTCCCTGGCAGCACAGGCCTGCCAGTCCTGCAGACTCTAAGGAATTCCGGGGAAGCCCAACTTTTGGAACTGGATTTGGCTGAATTCTGTTCTTTTCCATGTGTGTACCAGACCATTGGCTGTAATATGTTCCACTGTGATTTTCATTTAACAAATGTGTGGTTTTGGAGGAGGCCGATAGAAACCACAGTGGGCTGAGCCTCAAAAGAACTCTTCTCTGGTCCTAAGTAGTAATATAGAAGGGAAGTTATTCCTAAGAGAAATCACAGCTACCATTTGCTGAGTACATTATCTCATTTAAGCATCACTCACTCAAGTCAGTAGTGGATACTAATATCATTTCCATCTTATAGATGAGGAAACGGGGACTCAGAGGGATTTGTTACTCATCCAAGATTGCACAGCTTGTGGGTGACAGAGTGGTCTGTCTGACTGCCAAACCTATACCCCTAACCATCATGTTGGATGGCCCTTCCACTCACTTTCTCGTCAGCTCTGTGACCTTGGGCAGTTCGCTTTGTCATTCTGTATTTCATTTCCTCTTCTGTAAGGTGGGAGTGAAAATATCTTCTCTAGTCACCTATCTGTCACCTTTCTTGCTTTATTTTTATCTTTAAAAAAAAAAAAACAAAACAACCATTCCAACATTGTGGTTAGGGTGAAAACTCTGGCGGTAGATGCTATAATGAGTTATGTTTTAATGTATGCATTCTAAATCTGGCCCTATGTAAGGTGACTTGGATACATTTCTACTGAATAATCTAGAATGGGTGGGGGCACAGCATGACAAGCAAATATTCTTTGTCTCTTATATTTCTAGAAGACTTTCCTTCAGTTTGGCACAGTCTATATATGGAGAGAGATTCTCCCTAAAAATAAAAATTAAAAAATTTAAAAATGGATACATTTCAATTGGATCCTCGTCCACCGTTTTCAAAATCTGTATCCTTTTGGCCAAATATTACTCTGTAGATTGAGGTTTGGGACCCCTGGTTTTCTCTTTGTAAAAAGTTTTGCCTTTTTAAAAAAGATAAATGTGGCTGAGTTTTGAATTCAGATATCACTACTCTCCATTTTGATTTTGAAATCATAGGAGGTCTGAAATGCATCAAGATACTCATTTTATTTCACTTTGCCTTTGTTTTTCCACAGAACACTGAGCGATCAAAAGACTGGTACAAGACTATGTTTAAACAGATCCACAAACTAAACAGAGGTACTGATTTTCATTTGTAGAAGCTGTGCTGTGCTGTGTGCCAATGCACTGACTGTTTTGCGGGCCTGAATTCACTTTTCTAGGATGCCAGAAGACTGGGTCCTACAGTTGGACCTCATTAGATACTGGTTTGCCTGAGCCCAGCCATGTACCTTCAGAGCATAGGAGGGAGGAAGCACTTGTGTGGCTGCCTCAGAGTTGGAATTTGAGGTTTGCTCTCCAGTCCTCCCTCCCAGATGTGGAATGCAGCAGGCTGAGCCCAGCGCTCCACCTGTGTTCCAGCATCTGTCTGCCTGGGATGTGAGCAGCTCCATCTCCCACCTGCTTCCAGCTTTAGGTACATCTCCCTGTGTCAGCCCATGACTGCCTTGTGGGCAGAGTGAGTTGAGAACACACAGAACTGGGAATTAAAAACACTGTTCTCACCTGAATTCAGTCTCCCAAACACTCAGATATCTCTGGGCCAATCATGTACCTTTCTGTGTTTGTTCTGCTTCCTTTCCTTCAGGGGATGCCACAGGGTCTAAAGGAGAACATATCTGGCCTTATGAAGTAGAGTGCATAGTGTACCTCTAAGGCTATATTGATATGAACAATAATCTTCCCCAGCTGAGAGCCAGCCCTTGGCAGGGAGCCCTGAGAGTCAGTCAGGAGCTGACACACCAGAGCCCACTCAAGCTGAAAGAGCAGCGCTTCCAAATCAGACGCCGGCTGGGCTATCAGCAGGTGACCCAGCATCGAGAACCACAGGCCAGTGCTCGGGCAGGACATGACCCCACCGGCTCCCATCGCTGCCTGTGCTGCCAGCCAGCTGATAGGCAGGATGTAACTGCACCGTGGGAAGGTACCACTCCTCCCATGGCCAAAGCATCCTGCCCTTCCCCTTCCCCAAATCCAGTCTGGCTGCCTGGCATGGATGACACATAAAGGCAAAGAGAAAGTGTTCTGGTCAGTGTTCCCACCTAAGTCCAGTCTCTCTGATGAGCTGCAGATACCAACTAACATCACTGTTAATTAACCCCTGCTGGGTTCAAAATAAACCTGAGTGTGCCCCTGTTCAAACTGTTTCTAAATATTGAAGTGCTCTAAATATTGAGGCATTTAGCATTTCCAAGTCAAGAGTAAATCCACTGTGGTTGGGTGGATGAGCTTGGTCACACTGGTGAAATTAAATGCTTGGATTTCGGTGATCAGATGGGGTTAGCTCCACTCATCACTTCCTGAAGCCACTGCCCGTTTCCTCATGCAATCTGTGACTCTGTCACCTTCAGACCCCGCTTTGGAAGTCTAATTGCAGAGACATGGATGCATGTAAATGTGCAAAATATGTAATTTTGCCCCACAGGCAGCTTCGTTTTCTCATGTTACAGTTCTTAACCTAAATTTTAGGTGTTAAACAAAACTACCTGCCTTAAAGGTAGGCAGAGGTATTTGAAAAATTAATGATCTACTTGTTTGCTGAATGTCTACAACATAAGTGTTGATTTAAAAAATCATTTTAGGATAGCATGTTTATTACCTACTATTTATTATCATGCTTAATATTTCTTGCCTATCAAAAGTAAAAACCTGAAGCTTTATGTTAAATGTTTCTTGCCCATTGGAGCCTGTTCATGGCAATTCTTTGTCCAAGAAAAGTAATGATGTTGTCTCTTTCGATGTGTCTCGGTAATTCAGGCAAAAGGACTGGATTTTTAAAAGCAGTTTGAATTTTAAAAGCTTTCATATCACTCATGAAGCTTAGTATGTTCCAGAATCCAAGGAGCCTAAGTTGTATGTGGATTCCTACTCGTTTATTCTCTCCATTTGTATCTTCCTCTATTCTCTCTCCCAAACCTGCTCCTCTGCCTAGACACTCCTGAAGAAAACCCTTATTTCCCTACGTACAAATTCCCTGAACTTCCTGAAATCCAGCAAACTTCTGAAGGTACCATAAACTTAGACAGCATATCTGTTGTCCTAGCTTTGAATTAATTCTTATAGTTCCATTGTAGGCATAAGATTTGGCTTTTAGATTTTGTTTTCATAGTTGTTTTTGGCTGGTGAAAATTTGATTTCACTCATTTGCATGATGTGCTATGTTAAAATAACCAAGTCCTTTCTAATTCATTAATCTATTTTTAAGTGTGATGCCCGTGTGCTTTAATAACACTAAAATAGGTAATCAGTCATTCAGAGTCCATTGGGATTTGTCAGTTCCTCTACTTCCTGGTGGATAGTTTCAAAATCCACTGCTTTTCTCTGCTACAGAGGACAATCCTTACACTCCTACCTACCAGTTTCCTGCATCTACTCCTAGTCCTAAATCTGAAGGTAATTAAAGGGAAATTGTGTGCCTCTCTTTGTACTGGTGCTGCTACTTTCTTTTTCACCTTGGGGTTTTTCCTGGCAGCTATGGGCTGTTTCCCAGTCATTTGCTTCCCTCTAACCTTGTGTTTTGTGGTGGCGTCTCACTCCTTGCTGACTGTATCACCAGAGTCTATCCAGATGGTATTTCAGTCCTGTTCCCCTAGGGTTTACGTGATTAATGGGGTAGCCAGTGTTAGCTTAGTTATAATGCTTTGAACATGTGGGGCTCTGGAAAAAAAGCTGCCTGTACCCAACTACCCAAGGCTTTGTACCTGAGGTGGTCACCTGTTGCTGGTGGTTGAGCAGTGACTCAGGGAAGCTGAGTCATTATAGTGGGTGGGCAGGAGGTAGATCTGCCAACCATCAACAGGAAAATTACCTGGTTCTCACTCCTGCAACTAACTCATTACTGGGGCCCTCAGGGTATCTCTCTTTGGTAGGGAATTCCTAAACAGGTATCCAGGTATAAGACTCAGTCAAATGGGAGATGACATTTCTTGAAAATAAGAGTTTTAGCTAATATAGAAAACATTTTATGAAAGAGTTGGATAGGAATTTGTACCTGCTAGGGAAGACAGCCACATTTGTGTCGAAGAAATATTCTTTCTGGGGCAAAAAGTCTAAGTGTCAAGGAAGTTTCTAAAATGTGAGTTAGGGCCAACATCTTGAGACTTATCCTAATAGGAGGGATTATATGATCTTTGGATGAGTGACCCAGAAGAGGGCGAGTAGATGTGGTATGGGGGAGGAAATTTTGTTAAATACTGTTCTAGGGTGAGATGTTGAGTGCTCCAAACCTCATTCATCCAAGTATTATTGAACACTTGCTGTGCGCCAGGCACTGTCGTTGGAAGTAATGCCGTGAATTGGACATGTACCCTGTCCTCAGTAGTTCCCATCTGGTAGAGAGTTCAGCAAGGCCACTTCAGCATACTGTGTCCAGTGTGGGGGCAGTTGTGAGAGCATGTGTCCAGAACGCCACAGAAAACCTTGCTGGCACATAATGGATCCTCAGTAATACCTGGAAAACACTGACGAGTGAAGGCTTTGGACTGTGGAGCCAGAGTTGTTTCTTGGGGATGAATATCACTGCCACAATCTTGATGCTTTTCTGCTCTAATCAGCTCAGCAGACCATCCTTCTCAGCCTTTCTCATCGTTGGTAAAGTTATTCATTCAGTTATTTACCAAACTCTGATTGATCAGTCATATATGAAATGACACACTGGGATGTGTTGGATATAGGATTAGTTAAAATACCATAGTCCATTTTTGGTCTCTCATATGCCCCAGTAATTGGTTTCTAACCATTTCATGCCTGGGGCCCATTTTGAATGAAAAGAAAGGTCTACCGAACAAAACCAGATTTGCAGAACTAAAAGCTGATAATTTAATCCTGATCAGGATTCCTCACAGCCAACAAGAGTCTATTTGGTGTAAAGAGCCTAGCCTTTCTGTCTCATGGTACTGATTACTATACAAAAGCATTGGTGAAGTAACAACTGACTAAGTTGAGTTAGGGAGAAGTTTTTTCAGAGTAATTTTGACTAGTTGCGTTTTTTTATTTGTGCTTTACTTGGACTTGTGAACCCAGCCCACTCGTAAGATAGAGTTTCCTTCAAGGCAGTAAGCACAGAGCATGCAGAGGGCACAGCATCCCACGGACACAGGGAAAGGAAGGCCCACTTGAAGAAGTCCTGTGGATAGGAACAGTGGCTCCCATTGGACTGGTAGACTGCCTTAGGCCTGCCACAGGCAGCACTCACAGCTCTGTAGTCAGCTTGGCTGTTGATCCGAAGACGGGGTTTCACGGCCACACAGCCAGAGCTGTGCCATCAGCCACCATACCTAGCAACCCCTGCTGACTACCATGCCTGAGTTTTGGCATGCAAGTCCAGCACATGCGGGAAATGGATTTATTTTGCATAGAGGCAAAAACAATAAGGGATGTCATAAACACTTGTCACATATAATTTAGAAGCAAATCTTACTATTTTTTTATTTTCAGAGACAAAAAAGGGAGAAATACTATTAAAGAATAAAAAGGAAAAAATTAGTTTGGAGATAAAAAAAATTCTTAATAGCAAAGATGATTAGACTTTAACACAAGTTTCTAAAAAGTCATCCTCCCTGGAGAGCTTTTAAAAATAGGGTAAATTCCATCTCACGCCCTCACTCCCGCCTAGATGACATATCCAGGCATAGATCACTGATGTATTCAGTTAGATCAAGGCTTCTTATAAATGAAGGAAACATTTGCACTAGATCATGTTGAATAATCACAGGGTTTTGGTTTTGAGGTGTTTTTTTTTTTTTTTTTTTTTTTTTTTTTTTTTTTTTTTTTTTTTTAAGTTTCAAGAGAGTCTCTGGATTTCTCGATCCTTGATTTGTGGTTTTCATGTTGTCTGTGAGCTCCAGCAGGGCCTCATCAGCCCTGTCCGTGGTGCTGCTCCAGTCCTGTGCTCCCAATAAGTGGCTGTGCGCTCACTCTTTGCACATCCTTCTTAACATAGGAAAGATGTAAGCCTTTCAAAGAAAGGCATTCAAGACAGATGGCACCTAGCGGAGGCTCTTCCCATAGATGTGAATGCGCATTAAGAAACAGCGTGGACTGAGAAATCTGAGCCATCATTCATTCCAGAGTCTCTGTCC